GAGTCATTCACCAATAAATAGAATAATAATATTATTATGTCCATTTGTTACAGACGCGATCCATTACCCTACAGATTACTAAATTCAAGTTCCAACATGGATTACACATTCAATAGAATAATATTATCTTATATTGTAGTTCTAAATATTATTTTTCAAGCATAGTTGCTATATTATCTAGTATGTATTTACTTCAGAAAAATAAAATTTACATTGTTTGGATTTCTAAATTTATATTTACGTTATACGTTTTATTATTAACGTTTTGTAATAATAATTTATTCTTGTGCGATTTTGTTTATGCGAGTATATAAACCGAAATGAAATGGAAACAAATATAAATAAATATCGTTGGGTAGATAATATTACCTATATCTATACTATTGCTATATTTAATGTTATAAAAACGTAAAATTTATTGTAGGTAAATTTTTTTGTGATTGATAATCCTCGGAACTGCTGATCTGATTTTGAAAATTATTTCACTATAGAGTTGAGTTATTCCCGAGTGGCATAGGCTATTTAAATTTTATGAGGAAGTACAGTCATACAAGAAAGCTATGTGAATATAATTCAGTTTGAAAGCACGGTATAGTTATACAGATATTGCTGAAACTAATAGGATAAGCGGACCGTGTGCCTGATATAAACAGGGTGATCCTACAGCATAATATAGAAATATTCTTAATGGAGATTTTGAGATTAAGATGAGAAATACTGTATTAAGAAGGAAAGTGAAACATTGGAGTCGAAAACCCGACTGAGAGAATTTGTCGATAATAGGGATAGGTGCATGAAGACTGAACGCGATGTTAAAATAGGTTTTTCATTTCTTCTCCTCAATTGGATTAAAATACAACATCTATGCGTGTTTATTTAGTAATATTTAAATGTGTATATATTTCAATCAAGTTACAAGGAAAAGCTTGATTTATTGATTGATTAAAAATTGGCTTTTTAAGATCCAGCTTTTAAATACCCACAGTTGAGTTGAATAGTGAAAAACATTTTATGACTTATTTATGATTATTACTTACTACATCCCGTTTCATTGAAAATTTCAGGGCACAACTGTTTCCGGCTTCGCGATCGCTATTGTCCGACATAATGTAGACTTCAAAACCCATTGTGACGTATGTATACGAGCGCTCTTTAAATACATATTATATTCCTTCAGGTATTGTAAAGTGATATGCCACGGCACGTCATTCAATGGTTTACGTTATTTATTTATTTTTTATTGACACTGTATATACTAGTTTAGTACTCATATAACTAAATATATTCTTCAGGTCTTCGCCGAAAGAATTACAATAATGTTCCTGTTCTTCGATCGTAAACAAATACCGTATATTAGTACGTAAACATTCCTATACAAAGTTTGGCTGTCCTAAACTAAACAGACGGTGTTTACTAGAATAATAATAGTGTACAGTCGGATCTCTTTATCCGATTATGGTACACGGTTATCGTGGCAATTGCGGAACCTAGCTAAAGAATTGTGTGACTTTTTTTAAAAAAAAACTGAACCTAATTCGTCGATTTCCCGGTACCTAAGTTTAGGAGTTTCGAAAAACCCCTCCTATCACTTTGCATAATTTATGCGAATAAGTTTTAAATTCACATTACGAAATTCCCTAAAATCTTAATAATAATATAATAATTTTGATATTATATTGAAAATAAAAAATAAATAATATTGGCATGTTTTTGTATTTTGTGTATTGCATGTATCTTAAAAAAGTAGTATCTTTTTGAAAATGTTAAATGTATCTTCTAGTGACTTATAACTAAATACATTTTTAGGAGTATCTTGCCCATGTTTAAGCGGGGATAAAATATTCTTCATACCTCATACAATATATAATACAAATATAATACTATAATATTTAAATTGTATACAATACAATGAGTTTAAAAGATTATTAGCTAGTCTAAAAACTACATTTAAATAGAAACCAACTAGGAAAAGGACTTAGAAGACGTCTGAAAATGCGATGGATGAATGAATGAGGTGAAACAAGACTTGGAAAAATGAGGTGTACCTAACCTTGTCAAGAAATTATAGTACCAATATAGATAATCACGAGGGGTGAAAGGAAGTGTAGAGAACTCGGGAAGAGTTGTGATGCCAGCTGACAGAAGATGAATTATAATTAATTGTTAATTATTGTATTGATATACAATAATAATGGTGTAAAATTGTGTTTTTAATTATCGGTCTTAGTTTACAAAGAACCTCTTAAGAGAAAAAGATAGAATATTATAATCTCATGAATATAATTTACATTGTTTACTGCAGTAGCCGTGTTTTATCCAAAAGATTAAAATAATATTATAATTAATAATTAACTCTAAATTAATCGAAAAATGTAATTAATAATTTATTACTTTAAAATATATACTATGATTGATAATTTTCTATGATTTTATACGTACGATTTTACACATTAATATTATAATAGTAATACTTAATATAATTGAGGAACAGGGTGCAAGAAAGACATTTTCACGGTAATGCACTTTTTTGCTTAAAATGTCTTTTTAAACTCAGCGACCGCTATACAATTTTAGTTCGAAATTTTAATAATAGAGCACTGTAGAAGCGTTTACGTGATTATACGTAAATGCCTTTATTGCATAGAACCACACACTATGTAAGTTATATTTATAAATAATATCGTTTTATTTTTCAAAGATTTAAAAATAATATCATGGTAGATAATCTTTTTATTTATCGTTGTGGATTAATAGGTTTGGAAAAAAAAACAGTTTATAAATAAAACTAAGCATAATGTATTAAGATAATATTTAAAATTAAAAGTAATAAAACATAAAATTTATATTTATAATTTTGTTTGTATTTTTATAATAATTATTATTATTTATTTATTCATTATTAAGTTCATATTATTCAAAAGTTATGAATAAATTATAAAATTCAAGTTCTTCAATAATTTTAAAATTAATACGTAGTTATTGTTTGATGCGAGAAAATCATTTTCATGACCGAATATCTCTTTTATTTAAAACTTAGTGGACACAAAGAAAAACAAAACAGTGAGATGATTATTTTCTTTAAGATTCGATCTTTCATATGACACAAGTTTTATAACCATGCGAGCAGATCCAAAAGAGAGTCACACATTTGAAACTTTAACTTCGTTTATCTCAAAACACGGTTTTTTAGAAAATGGCCTTCTTTCATCCAGCCCCTCAATTGTCGCTTGGATAAATAATAATAATATCATGTTCTTCTGATGCGATTATTTTTCAATTTTACTTCAATTAATAATCAATATAGATAGTACGGGCTTCCGTGCCAGTGACGGCGATTAATGTCTACACGTATGCATATTTTTATAATAATATGTTAAGTATTCGAGAGGTCGATCGACGCAACAAACCTTGAATAATTTGTAATATTGTATTGTAGTTGACCACCATAGCGTACCTATTTACCTATCTTGTGAGTAAACATACTCGTACTTTTATAATAATATAATATATCAAAGTTGCGTTTTTCTGTAGTGACTGTTTGTATGATACGCGTATATAAATTTAAGTGATTGAGTGCGTTTGGTTTTTGCTCATTTTAACGGAATTCGAATCATTTTGTTATTAGGTATAGGTACCTACCGCCTAATTTATTACGGGATATTTCCCCGGTAAACGATTTGATGAATGCAAAATCTTTAAATTAATATTGTTCTGTTCGAAATTTTTAAGTTATTTTTTATTTTTTAATTTAAATATCCAATTGAAATATTTGGACGTTACACTTGCATACGTGCTCTCTTATTCAAACTAACGGGCGATATAGCTAAGTCTTATGCAGTCCGCGTAGAACTCGCTTTTAGAGTAAAAACACATATCAAATTAAAAAAGGACAATATTTTAGAGGGCAAGACGATGTGTTTCTTTTTAAAATTCATTCTTTATTGTGTTACTGTCATTTAAAAACGATCAATTAGGATTCATTCTTTAATTTTAGAACAACAGGAAAAACGCATCGTCTTGCCCTCCGATTAGCTGTTATTTTCAATTTAGTTGTTACTCGGTTAAAAAATCTTTGTAGAGACTTGAAGTTTTCACCGATATTAGCCCTTTCTAGATGCGGTAAAATGGTCGAAACATTTCAGCTATTTTTTTAGTTAATTATTGAATTTATTTTTCATGTGAATAAAATTATTTCGGAAAAGCAAATATGCACGAAAATTTGATGAGCACAAGGCGCGCTCCGTAAGTCGAACATAATAGTCCGATCAAACAGTTTATGGAATAATAAAAACCGCGGCGTTTTAAAACATCCGAGACTTCGCTCAGCATCGGTTTTCTCTACCAATGATTTGTCGTTGCGCGCGGACATAAATTAAATTACACTCGCTAACGTTGTTACTATCCTACCTTCCGGACTTTTTTTTTTTTTCTTTTTCTCATTTTAAACTTTTCCTATTTTTCGCCAATCTGAACAAACGTCCGCAATAGGTGAGTAACAATAACAACACGTCGTCGGGCCGCATAAAAATATTGTATTATTATAAAATCCGCGCAATCGTCCGAGCCACGGGAATATTATCAGTACGGCGGCGGCGTGTTGTGGCATATAACATTATAAATACATAATATTAAAATAACGAAACGCGTAATGATATCGTATTATTATATATACCGGGTGGGGAGAATGTGATGAACGCGTTAACGACGGTTCGGGTTATCGCCGCCGACGTCCGGATAGGACGTAGTCTCCTCGTGTGTGCGACTCGCGTTGGTCCGCTCTCTGTGGATCATTCCCGCGCGTAAGGTGTGCGCCGCCCCGGTCGTATTTTACAGCGGATTCGAGCCGTCAATGTCCGTGCGCTTTCGCCGTCCGCCGTGCTTTTCAAACATTTACAATAATAATAACAATAATCGTTTTGCCCGTTCGGAGTGTCGACCGTGATGGACTTTTAGACGGGACATTGTAACAATATAGGTGTGTATTTGTACCGGCCGACAAGATGAAAGCTAACGTGAGTACCGCTACTGTTATACAGCTTTGGGTTTCATTACCAATACGATAATGGGGTTTTTTTTGATTCATAATTTAACGTCCGATCCGACGCGTCTTGTGTCGATTGTACGATCGAAGATACCATGTTATATTATTGTTGTAATGCGTTTTCATTTCTTTTCTTTTTATTTTAATTCTGAGTGTAGCGAAGGTTTACCAAAGATGTTTATTTTTTTTTTTTATATATATACACCGTGTACAAACATTCTACCAGAAATCTTGCTTCAAAGTATCAAGTACAACAGCTTTTCTGAAAGCCAATTTTCCTTGAGTGGTACTTTGGGGATGCCACTTTTTGATTTTCCCAGGAGTTTTCCCAATAAACGGTAAAACCCGGAAAACCGTAGGAAAAACGGGAAAATAGGTACAATATTTAACAAAATATAAAATGCATATTATATAATGTTCACGAAGCAACACTATTAACCGAACTCCACTCAGAATCGTTTTTCTTTAGCAATGGTTAATCTTTGCGTACAGATATACATTAAATTTCCCCTCTCCTCTGCCCAACTTCTCACCTAAAATAGTTACTGTACCCACGTGCGAAATATGTCTGTCTTTTCTTTTTATTTTATTTTTAAATTTTTGTCAAACGAGTTTGAAATGCCGCGGACAAATTCGACGTAGCATTTTTATTTATTTATGTTTTGTGTACATCACTGTTGGATGTTTATTCGGCTCCCCTAGAAATAACATTATACCAAAGCTGGGCAAGTTGTCCTATTTGTTTAACCGCCTTAAGTTAAATTGTCCAAAAAAATAATAAAAATAATAAGTAACTATAAGCTATAGGTTTAAGTTTATTTAAAAATAAAGATGAATTTGATGGTAACCGAGTTAGGTTACAAATTGTTAGGAAAATAATACATTTTTAGTTAGTCAAGTAAAAGTTTAATTTTGATTTACTATACACTGGTGAATGCATTTTGAACTATTATATCTATGCTTTATTTAGACTCGTGTGTGTATCCCACAGTATAAGTCAAATACCACTTCTTGCTATATAATAATGATAAGTATTCACGTAAAAATCTGTATTTTTTTGAAAAATAAATGAAATTATGATATTATAAAGGTAAAAAGTTTTTTTTTTCTGAATAACCTACGTAGAATTGAACTTTTAACTTTTTAACCAGCTTTGTCCAGCTTTGTATTATACGAACATAAAATGTACAATACTCGAAATGCAAACGTAAACGCAAAGTATTTAACAACCATAAGAACTATTTAAATATAACTAATTGTATTTAATTTTTTAATTATACGATGGTTGTCAAAAATGTATAAAAAAAATGCCGAGTTTCGTTTTTCGTATACGAAAAACGTTTTGGTATTTTCTCCAGGTTTAACGTTTTCATGACTAAAAACGGTCACCGATATTCATTACCTAATAATATAATAATACATTTTAATCCATTAATATGAAAAATGTATTGGTTTGATTAAATTTCTAGAACTTTTAAAAGTTCATGTATTATGGGTGTACAGGTATACACTCCTATCTTGTCATACCGTCCCTTAATGGTTTCAAGGACTTATAATTTCTATTTCTGCCCGGTGATACTTATCTCGAAACTTTTTTTTACAGTTTACAACAGTTCGCCCCTTAGGGCATAGGTATTTATTTTGGGTTTTTCTTTCTCGAGATTTATCTATTCTGTTAGTAAAAATGATCCAAATTGTTCGCATTGTAATACCTTCAAAGAAGCTCTGTTTTTAATTTGAAATCGTTTTTTTTTTATTTTTTTTGGTTGCAATAATTTACCGTTGTTTTTAATAAATAAATTAAATCACTCTGTATCCTACATCAGTGACGAAATATGTCCGCTTTTTTCACATATTTTAAATAACACTGAAATTAAAAATAAATGTATAGTTACTAATTACATTATTAACAGTTATGTTATTTATCTATGAAAAATGAGAATATTTAATGCATTTTTAAGCAATTTTCATAGGTAATATGTATTAATAGAGTATTGAGTCAAGTTTGTTTATGAACTATAGATAGTAATTATAATAATAATATAATATTATAATTATAATTTTATCAATAGTGGAAAACGAATAAATGGAATTTAACTGAAATTAAAAATTTCCTCCGACGTAACGTAATAAACGCACTATTTTAAGTGTACGTAGCTCGTAGATATACTTAAAATTTGATTAATTTGAATAATTTCGGCCGACTATTAAATACCTATTACAAAATAAAAACCTACTCCGTGAACTAAACATTAAAACAAATCATAATGTTTCATTGGAATTATATATAAACGTTAAACAACGTTATAATAATTATCAATCATCGGCTTTCGACCTGAATGCCATCATAATAAACGTATAATACAATAATTAATAACTATATTGTAACATAAAAGTAATTCAATTTCTTTTATTTGAAATTCGCTCGAAACTTGAACGGTTGAATAGTAATCAAGTGATCATGACGCATAATAGGCACAAAACATTATGCCTACGTCACATAAATCATAAATTGGCTATACGTTTTGAATCATAAAATTAGTAGACATTCAATTTATTATATTACGTAATAATCTAATATCATGATTGAAAAAAAAACCAGTGCACATATACCTACCTGAAATAGCGCGTAATTGCACATAATAATGAACAGCAAAACACATAACCTTATATCGAGTATTATAATTTTGTTATAGCATTTCAGTTTAGAAATATATTTAACGATACATTATACCGTTGAATATTAATAAATATCGGTTTGGTGGGGGAGGGGGGGTTTGGGAGCAATTAACAAATTACTAAAACTAACAGAATCAATGGAAAATTCAAAAAGTACCTACTACATACTAATGCAATATTAATCATGTAATTTTGAGAGTCGTAAAAAAAAAGTACATTAGTTGGTATTTAAACCATTGAGATTCTATTAGATTTTAAGGTCTAATCCAAGTAACAACTTTCAATGATACATGTTGATAAGTTTAATATTTAATTTTTAATATTCGTACACAAATAGTTGAACGTTTAAAATTTAATAAGTATTTACTATTAAATATTTAAAAACGCCGATTAGTTCCTTGGCGTTTTGTTAACTAAGATTTAAAAGTAACTTGTGATCTGATTTTATATTACTAAACGCGTTCCTAACAACACAGACTTTCCCGGGAACTTCTTGTTTCATACTCAACGCCTGAGAACGGGTTATGGAATCGAGTTGAAAAATGCATAAAAAAAATCAAAATAAACCAATAATTCTATACAATAATTGATTACTATACGTAATGCAGGCGAATAGATAAACCTCGAGATTTGATTATTTTATTTATAGTTGTAAAAATCATATTTTTATACTTGTAAAAAAAAAAAAAAATATTTTATATTCTCCCACACGTGTATAAAAATAATATATTATAATATAAACTTTCTACACGCGGGTATAATCGACTTCCGATTTGATTGTATTCCAATAAAATGGTTAAATTAACAGTCATAATTATTATATTCTCCGACTATCAATAAATAAATATATTATTTACGATAATTATTTGGTCTTCCCTGAGGTCGAAGTATTATTACGTGATGGTATACGGTACGAGTATTGGAAGGAAGGATTATTGATTATCTTGTTAGCAAAAAACCGAATGACGCATTTTTGTTATCAATACGTATAATACATTAAAAACTAAACAAAATGCTCCATTGCAAAGCCGTAGTATAAGGAATAAAAAATATAATTTATGTATTGAACCGTATCAAAATTAGGGTTTAGTTTTTAGATGATAAAAAAGACTGATACTGATACCTACATACTGATACATTCTGATGAGTATGCCACTTTTTTAGGAAGGAAGTTGTAAAGAATAATTTAATTTAGAGCAATTATTAAATTTTTATTTGTACGCAACAGTAAACCAATGTTAACGAAAAACGATTGTGAGCAGAGAATTATTAGTTGTATTTTTTTCGCTTGTTTCCAAGGTAACTCAGAAATCAATAAAAATTGCATACAAAATTTCTAGTTTTTCCATTTATTAAAAAAACTAAAAGTTAAATAAAAAATAACCTCAATTCACCAAAAATATCAAAAATGCAACAAGAAAGTTTTTGAGACAAAAAAAGTTGATTATTTTCACGGAAAAAAATTACACATCATAGTAAAGCCAAAATATATCTCGCTTTACTCGGAATCTAAAACAATTTTGGAGACGTTGTATTAATACATAATGTCTGTTTTTTTTTGTCAGTTATAAAACAAAAAAACCGAACATAATAATAATAATAATAACAATAATATTTCTTTATTACGGAAATAAATTCCAACTACAAGTTGTTTTTTTTTTCATAGACATATACTTGATCAGTAATTTAAATATAACAATAATAATAATAATAATTTTAAAAGTAATTAAACAAAATATTGGCATCAATATTATACAATATATTTAAATTTATAAAAGAAAATATAAAGTAAAATAAAACGATATGTTCATTATATTTCTAGTATTATTTGTTACGTACTTCTTAAGACATTTGTCATAAAAACATTTAAAGATTTATTTATAAAAAAAAAAATCAATATTTGCAATTGCCTGCAATTATTAGTTGGAGAATTTCGCATATAATTTGAAGTTGAATGTTTTATGTAAAATAAATTATAAGATACAACAGTTTATTGGATTGGTTTAAAATTTATATTTTGCAATAATTTAGGATAATCAATCACAATCTTTTGTAATGTTTTTACAAATTTTAATTTAATTTTCGTGAAACGTTGTTCTAACGATTATATTAAAAAAAAAAAAAAAAAAAAAAAAAATGGATTATAACATTGTAATGAGAATGTGGGGCTCTATAAATAAAACACTGATTGCATAAAAATCTGATAAAATTATTTTGAATTTTGTTTAAATCTTGAATTTGTGTTACTAAATATAGATGCCAAATTAGGAGGGTAATACTTAACACCGTAGTTAGACCATTGTTGTAGGTGGGAAGTTGGTAAGGTTAGAATATGAAATAATTTAGTTTATACACACTGATTGAAACGATGAAAAATTACAATAAAAAAATGATTCTAAGCGAATCTCGATAAACTTTTAAGGTTATTTTATTATTTTATAAGTAGTGTTTTGTAGGTTTTTAGCTAAAGTCAAGGTAATACAGAAACACCGAAAAACGTTCGTTACATATAGTAGACAATAAAAAGTAGCTATGGACAAATAAATAATCTACCAAAATTTTTTAAGTTAAACATAATTTTCTTGTATTTGAATAACCTCACATAAATTTTGTATAAAACTAAGGGTGCAGATTTTTTTTTATCTCATTCCTCCTAGAATAAAATATTAAGTATGTCACTTTCTACATCAGATACTACTAATTTGTTTCCTAACCTAAAACCTTTCGTAAGATTCCTTTCTCAAACCATCATAACATTAATATCAATATTATAAATATATCAATGAAACGTGACTGCTTTAACATGTGCTTTAACGCGTATATGGACAAGAGAGTTCAGAAGTTCAAAAATGTGTGTATTATGACGAGTAATTATGACTGTAAGTACCAATACTATTTTGTAACCTGCACGGAATAGTGATCGGTGAAAATACTTTAATAATGTCAATACACACACGATCAGAAATAATTATTGGTTCGGATTTTAAAATATTAATAAAAATAAAAAAAAAAAAACACAATTACTTTTCCGATCTATTTTTAATGGAATAAATAATAATTTAAAGTTAATATATAGATTGCTTAGTAAAACTGCAGTATAGGTATACAATAAAATCTTCTTGTTAAATTGTTTTCACTGTTTTTACAGCGATCACGTTATTTAATATTCTTAATTTTTGGCAGTTCTGTAACCAGAGAGCACGTGCCCCCCCTCCTCTAACCCTAGCATATTTTCTATTGGTTATTTAGCTTATTTTGGTGAATTTTATCATCCTATACCCGGTCATAGACTTTTAAATACGGGTTAAACTCAACGTTAAATAGTTTGAAAACGTGCATAGATTTGAGTAATAGAAACGAGGTCAAAATCGGTGCTAAGTCGGTAAACAGATCACCATTAATAATTATCATCGAGGGTTTTTTTTTACCATTCCTTTTGATTATTAATGTTCCATAATAGATCTATATTAAAACAATATTTTTAAAATTAATAACCCTTGACCAAACCCTGTTTTTCGTTTAAAAATTTGATCTTTGAACAATATGGAGGAAAATTGTTGTATTAACAGTTGTTTCGTGTTGTCGGTACGTCCTCGACGACCGCACAACCATGTATTATACACATATCAATACAGTAATCTATTCCATCTATAAATAAATTATACGATCAACGATTGAAATAAGCAATCAGTAACGTCGGTGCAGTGTTTATTTTGAATTTTAAAATACTTTATACTCTGCATTTTATTGTCTAAGTCCGATATATTTTCCGGACATGCAGTTTAAGAAGTAATTTACTGTTTTTTTTTTTCGTTTTTGGTCTGAAAATTCCTTTATTTTTAACAAACAAATTATAGAAACAATAATAATATGTTAATTTTAGAATCGAATAGATTACACGCACATTCTACTTGGTTATTGGATTTAATTATTTTCTTTGAAGAGTGAATACTATAATGTTAATTTCGTAAATGCAAACAATTCAATTGATAATCTAACTTGAGTACATATTTTAATTTTATTTGACATAAATCGAAAGATATATAGAAGATACATACTTATATAGAAACAAGCACAATAAATGAAAAAAAACTACACAACTGTTATATCTAAAGATCTCAAATATTAAAACTAGATATGGACCATACGACAGCGAAATACGATTTTGAGCGAAGTAGTTTTTTCCCTCGGGAACCCAGAAATCAATCAAAAGCATAATATAAACAAAGAAAAATAATGTATGAAATAAACTGCTGAACATGTCGGTAACTTTTTCAAATAAAATAGGCGAAAAATTGTCGGTTTTTTTACATAACGTCAATGGAGTTGGGGGCAAATGTCGATACACATTCGCCACTATGCACAGACCGTAATTATTCGGGTGTTGGCTAGTGAACGTTGACCTGTACGATGGAAACCGAATGTTGATCGTTGTTGGCTTCATCGTGTGAGCGCTATGCTATAAACATGAGCCAACGTTGACAGCATTACGTTACTCCGGGTCACGAGGTTACATGAAAAAATCGAGACATTTTAATTAACCGAAAAAGTGTCTTCTGAGGAAATAAAATCGCACGTGATACGTGCGATTTCTTCGATGCGCTCAAAGTCTAAAGTAAATCATTATGGACGAATTCAAGATACCGTATACACCCGCGTCGTAATATTATATTTTATTTAATTCCGCCGCGGTCGCGAATAACAAGTGCGTTTCAAAATGTATAATAATAATTCGAGAATCGCGTCCTTCGCAACATTTTCCACGTTTAAAAACGACTCGAGACGCGGGAAAGCGTATTATCAATTTTGAACAGTGTACCTATATATTTGGTTTTTCGGGTTTAGTAGTTGTTATTATTATCATTATTATTATTATTATTATCGGTCGAAATAATCGTTATCGACACAGTCGTTGTGCAGCGCGCGCGCGTGTGGAAATTCGTTCTTTATTGGTGCTATTTGATCGGCGTTTTGTTTGTTTGTTTGTTTGTTTGTTTTCCTTCTTACAATAATTACGCGTTGAGTAAAAACAAAATCGCGATTAGTTCGGCTTGTGGACACCTTCATTGAACCGCGACCCGCGTATAGTGCGTTCCGGTGACACGGCGGCGGAGAGTTCACCTTCGATGCACCGCGACTGCTTTACGCGCCAATCCGACAACTACACGGGGCCTCTTAAACCGAATCCAAATTTAATTAACATTCGTCGTACACTACGGCAAATAACATAATATTCAAATATATCTAATTCTGTATTTTATAAGACAATGTAAGGACGTTCCGTTCAATGCAATAGGTATCGCGTTTACTGCGCAATAATCGATTTAATCGCAACCCTATAATACACGTATACGTTAATTATAATTAACGATATTTAAATCCGTAAATCGCATTTAGGTATAATACGATCGTGTTATCGTGATTACTCAAAACAGCATACTGCAATTGTATACTGTGTATATGACACGCGCGGGGAAAACGGTTTTACCGACATTGAAAAATTGAAAACTATACAATTAATTGTTACTTACCAATAATAACCAGTTTTTGTTTTTTCACGCGTCTCTGTCTTTTTCTGATTAAAAATCCTTGTTTGCTGCAGCTCTCCATACCGCCCTGTTCCTTTATAGATCCTTGTATTTTTCCCTATTCACGTCCTCTGGGATTTAGGTTATGTGTTCTACAATTGATGTTATATGTTGAAAAATACATCAGACTTGTTCCACGGATCCTTTATTAATTTTTTTTTTTAATGAATTTGTATGCCTTAATTCATGCCCTATCATCTTATCTTTTCTGGATTTAATGTATTTTCATATAGTTGCCGATTTTATTTTATTTTGTTTGAGACCTCGTCATTTATAATTTATTCAGCCCATACGATTGAAAATTCAGCATTTTTTCGCATCTCAAAGGCCTCCGTGTTTTACAACCTAAAGTTTTACAGACTATAGGATAGATCTTTCAGAATTTCTCCCTTACAAGCAGACTAACATTATTAGTTATAATGGATAAGTAGATGGTTTTTGTCTTAAATCTTGAAAGGTGTATTTCGCTTCTCCAATCCTACTGAATGTATATTGGTTTTGCTGACACCATATTCTTTTATATTACTTTATTTATATAAGTATACGAAGCATTGTACTTTTTTTATCTTCATAATGTAAGACTGCACCGACAGATTTTCACGGAAAACGATTCTGAGCGGAGTTCAGTTGTACGTGTTTTGAAAGACCGTAATATTTACGATTTCAAAATAGTACATATATTTTCCCGTTTTTCCTCGGTTTTTTCCCATTTATTATGAAAACCTCTAAGGAAATAAAAAAAATAAAATAACCTGTTTAAAGTACCGCCTTACCTAATTTTTTTTTAAAAAAAAAAAAAAAAGTTCTACACTTAAACTCGAGATAAAATACCTGATAGAAAATTTGTCCATAAAAAAAATATTAATAAATTAAATACCATTTTAAAACCAATAGATTTCTCGCTTCGATTAGAAACAAAAAGACCGGTTCGGGCCTGAGCGTGCAGAATTCTACCCCGATGACATAAAAGCAAATAAAGTACTTCCTCGTAGTTTAATATTATTAACTTGTACTATAATAGTTTAGAGATTACTCTGGATACAGTCACGGTCCGGAGTATGCTTAACAATTTATACTAATCATCTGTAGCGCAATAGTCGAGATGCAAAATACACAATCGTAAAAAATTGTTATTATTGACGGAATTGGCAAAAGTGAAAAAATGTGATTTCATCGAACGCGCAATTTCAATCCGTTACGAATTGTACATACACGGACTATTATCGTGGGCACGATACTATGATAATGACGTAATTTATTTGCGTATTTTTGTTTCCCTCTAACTGTAAACTATAATCTGTACAAGTTTATGCAAAATTGATATCTTCCTCGGCTGTAAAGACGATTATAACACGCGCCTATACTTATGTTTAACCGTGCTGCGGCCGAGTACTTGTACCTACAAAGTGAAATCACGAAAATCGTTTCCACTTGTTTTCGAGTATATACCTGAAGGTACATCGAAATTATGCTTTCACGCTGTAATTTAAAAAAAAAAATAATAATAATAAAAAAACGAAAATTTCGTTTAAATCGTTCGAGTGTTGTCAGTAACAATAATAATATAATATGCATGCATAGCTGATACACCGCGCCATAGAACGCCGATATCGAAATAATCGTTTACAAAACAAAACATTATGTTTTTTTGTGTTTCCGAAACGTTGCCCGATGTATGAAGTTTATTGAAAATAAACAATAGTTCGTTTTTAACACATTATTATGATGTCTGTCATTGGTACGTGTCGTATTTTCTTATTTCTTAAATGTTATAATTTCAATTTTTTTTTTTCAACCAATTTTAAATGATAATTTTATCTGCGAAATATATTTAGATTAATAATAAATGCTAAAAAGAAATGCTATTGTAAATGCTATTAAGATGTTTTTTTCTCTTTATTACACTATTCTTACTACATCGACTAGGAGTTAGCACGCCTAACAGTAGTCACTGACAGCCGCCACGTTATATTATGCGGTTCGGCAATATCGCCGTGGACCAATTACGAATTAAATTTTTGAATTATGTTAACATAATATTTTAGTTAGGTTTCAATATTATTTTAGGCAGAAAAAACTACCCATACGACAAAAATAAATCGTTCAATTTGATCGGATAACTTTTGAGTTATGGACTAATATTATGAGGGCTACGTCCTGACCACATCCCTCCCTCTCCCTAAATTGTTTGTTGTAGCATATGCACATTTTAAGTATGATTTAAAATGTCCCGTATTTCAAATAAATAAATCTGAGATCAATCATTAGCTACAAAAAGTAAACGACAAATTGTGGACTCGGTGGAAATATTATAAGCCAACATGTTTCGTCGTCGATCGACTGACGTGATTTTATCGCTCTAAAAAATCATTTATGGGTTTACACGTCACGATGACATTTTCTATTATTCGTTGTTGAGTTCGATACCAGTTTTAGAGCCCATGCGAATACAATTATCATGAGTTGACAATATTTTTTTTTTTTTTAGGACATGACAACATTATTATGTTTTGAGATTTACCTAAATTGATAACGAAATTAGTGCAAATGATGCTTGTTAAGATAAAAAAGTTATTGTTTATACATTATTATGAGAGTTGTATAGTCTCGCGGTATCGCAATTTATTCGTCATCGTGACATACAATTAATATTCGAAAAATCTGCAGTTTAGTACAGTAACAGCAGCTACCGCGGTTGTTAGTTACGATTATAAGCGCAGTTATTCGTATATTACAATATATTTTGTTTAAAATTGCATAAGTAGTTTTTTTATTTTTTTTATAATATGCTAACAAAATGTTGAATTTGCGTATAAGAATAGAAATTAAATATTGTTTTTGTTGAAAATTAATATTTCGACTTATGTATACTAAAGTTGACATTTTTACAAACATAATAGTAGATACACGTACATTCATAAAAATTTCACTTGAAACTACAGTGTGTCATAACATATCCAGTATTATTATAGATAAGAATCTATTATAATATTATCACGACAACATCTTCCGTGTGATTCAACGGCAAGGTAACAGAACAAAAAAAAAAAAACACTTGTAACATATTTCATTATTAATTTTTTGTTTTTTGTCTTCTTCGATATCATCATCGTTGTCGTCATCGTTGTCCCTTTTCTAGAACCGAAACGATGCGAAAACGCACATTTTCGTCGCATTACCTAACCGCTCTGCACGTTCAAAAGACACCGACACACCGAATACCAACTAATTGACGATGAATATTAATATTCCTCTCGAACCGGTCTCGTTAAAAGTATTTCAGTAATAGTTTAGTTATAAGCCGACTGTCAATAATTGATTAATTAAAAAAAAAAGTGATTGTTTAAGTGGTTGATAATCAAAAGTTAAAAATTAACATCAACATAAATACGAAAAAAAGCTGGAATATTATTACGATTGTGATTTATTAACGCCAGTTGTAGGTGGGTAGTAGGAAAGGTCGGATCTATTATAGGTCATAGGATGATGGAGTTTATCCAATGAAAACAACGATATATCATCATAAACTAAAAACTATTCTGAAAAGATTAGTTTTTCCTTTGGTGTTAATCTAGCAATCACCAAAGTCAAAAAACTAAAAAAAGACTTATATAAAAGTGACCTGTTGAAAATTAGAAGAATATTCATAGAAAATTGCATTCAAATTTGTACACATCGAGAGATCAAATTGCATTAAAATATGATATGTTTTTTCTGTCTATAAAAACGTTATAGATCAGAAGACACTGCAATCATTTACTTCTGGAGTGGTAGCAAACTTTGTAGACAAAGTTGGTCTCAAAAATTTGAATCGAGTTTCATCACAAGTGTGGTAATAAAATGAAAAGCCAAACGTGAGTTTTCGTAATTTTGCCTTTGAACGTTTTAAGTTTTAAATTTATGATAAAATTGATTAAAACACAATTTATCAGAAAAAAAAAATGTGTAACTGAAACCTGCTCAGTTGTACCTATACACCGTACCTTTTCTATTTTTCGTCTGCAACTACAGTGGCTTGCGTATCACCTATAACACTGTCCTGTACTCATCAAGTACGAGGAGTGTACAGCGATAATCTAAAAAACAACGGAAAATCGTAATAGAATTTTCTTGTATACTCGTAACTACAATACTGAAGATACCTACTAGGAAAAATAACTTAATTCATTAGAAACACAGTACGTTGGCGCTTATGAATAATAATTATTGTATTATATTCGCTATTATAATGACGACAAGGAACACTTACCTACCTAATTTAACAAACGTTCATTGTTCAATATTCCGAATCGACAAAAATAAATAGGTAATATAATAATATGTACGCAATTCGCGCCAACTATCACATTACGCTTAGTTTTAGGTTTAATATTTACGAGCGTCTTTAAGGATTACAATAGTAATAATATTATAACGAGCAACGACTAATAAAGTATACCTACTTATATCAGCCAATCATAATACAAACTTATTATTATACTTTTCCGAATTATAACCATGCGGATTATTTCAGATTTCTCCGGGTAAAATATGATGAATAATATTTTAATATACGGAAGATCTATTTCGATTCATACATATAGGACACTTGTTTATATTATACACTCCGTTTGTATTTCGCCAAACACAATATTAAATTAATAACATTCACAACTTTCTCTTCGACTAAGGTAACACGATAATAATATTCACAGCGTAGGACATACTGTTGTTCAGTTGTTGGAGACACAGACTGTTGGAAAGGAAGAGGACAGATTGGTTTATAGAATCAAAAAACGATTCTGAGTGGAGCTCGGTAAACTGCAGAGTGCAGATATAGGTTAAATCGGGTATTGGTATTTTTATTCCAGTAATCCAGCAGAATTCGAAAAAAAAAAAATCCGATATAGACGATATATCCGATTTGTTGTTAGTTTTTTTTCAAAAATATATATTTTAAAATATTAACTGCCGAGAATCTAGAAAAATGTTTCCACTAAAGTACAACCGGGTTAAAAATGTGTTTTATTGTGAAATTAATAAAAAAATAATAGTGTAAATAATAGTAATCACACTAACTGTAGTAGTTTTCTTTTCCGTAACATCAAGGTAACCCTTGAATAAACAAAAATAAATAAAAAAGCAATTAGATACCAAATATACCTTAAAACCCCTATTTCAACCCCACAAGGATTGAATTTTCAAAAATCCTTTTTTAGCGGATACCTACGTCACAATAGCTATCTGTATACTAAATTTCAGCCCGATCCGTCTAGTGGTTTGGGCTAGGCGATGATGAATCATTCAGTCAGGACATGTTACGAGTATGTATAGATTTCGAAACAAAATGTTGATGTTACTGGGGTTTTTTGAATTGTACGATAATTTAAATTGTTTACGTCGCCACTAGTTAATAGTATCAATCGATTCACCTATATTTACATGAAAAATAATATTTTGTAAATTTCATCAAAAATTATGAACTTAATGACTTATCAAACACATGTAGCACCAAAATTTCGTTTCTTAAAAATGTACAAAATGGCCATCTTGAATTTTGTAAAAAAAAAATCGTTTTAAATTTAAATGTTTAGTTTTGAAAAAAAAAAATTAAAATAGAGTATAGAATAATCATGGCACAGAGATTTCGTAATTATTACAAAGAAAAACAAAATAACTTAAAAACATAATTGCGTTTGTCGGATTTCCATGGGACATCCTGTATATCCTGTGGCCTTGTAAGTGTTTACGAAGCCACGGGGGTTTATTTTTAATTTTTAATAACAATACTTGTAATATTCGGATCGTTCGATACTTCTAGAGCACGTCATGTTACGTCACGTATTTATTTATCGCGCGGCTCATCAAATTTACTACACAGGGGGTTTATCCAGCCGGTTATTTTTACCTACGGAGATTTTAAATAAGTTATATGATTTCGGTTCTTTAGTTCAGTCGTATAATATTATAATAGAATAATTTGTACATGTATGAAGAGCCGAAAATGATACTCTAAAAAAGGGTATAACCGAACAAAACGCATAAAAAAATCAAAGTGACATCGAGGTAGACCTCATACGAGATAGATAGATTCTGTGGAGGATGATATCCATCGTACAGTGGACATGAACGCGTCAGTCAATAGAGAATTGTGCGTAGCAGCTCGGGTTTTACAAAAACTGTTAAGCTGGAAAAGAATGAGGACAATGTTATGTAAAAACAATCTTTGTATGGCATTTTTCACTTATATATTCTACTTTATTCGCAATCTTTTTTTTTTTTGTATATATATATAAAACGGTTACTTCAGACCGTATACTTTATAGCTCGGGCAGAAGATCAAATGGTTGTGCGTTTTAGTTCGTTTATTAGACCATGCACTACAGTAATATAATGCAGCGCTTTCACTGAGATTAAAAATATGAAAATTTGAAAGAGTTATAATATTATGGTGCAAGAAAAAAAAAATATTAATTTAAAAAATATATATACATATTGCACCGTACCTGCGCATGTGTTATACATTGAAATGATTATTATATTTTCGTAAGACGTAGAATTGTATATAAAGACTAATTATAATAATAATAAAAAAAACCAGTGCGCACCCACCGTCCGAGTTTGGTATATACCTGCACAAAACTCATTGACACAAATAGGAGGAATTTATTGCTTCCTTCAAATTCAATAAATACCCTCGAAATCTGTCAAGTAATTGGTATAATAACAATAATAATAATAATAATAACAATTGAATCAACTAGATAGGCTTTTAAATCGTAATTTATACAATATAATTTGAAATAATTGATAAAATATGCAATAAATACTATGTTAATATTAACTTAGTATTGTTAATAGTAATGTTAATATTAACTTTACTTAAAAAACTAATCAGGTATAAGGTTTGATGTATCAAACACACAACTTTTATGAAATCTAGATGCGTATCAAATCTAGTAAACTTTTACTAACTACTTTTGGCACCTAGTTTTATGACGGGTAGAATGATCAAAATTGTCTTTTTTTTTTATCTAGATACAAAATTCTTGATTATTTATCTTTGTCTATGGATTATTAATATAAATTGTTATGTATCTGTTATCTACGTCCAGATAACTATTTTAGTAATCATCTCTTATCTAGATAATTTTAAATTTGTCTTTAGACAACATTGCGTGCAGCCAAAAAAAATCGAATATTTATGCACTATTACGAGAGATTAATTAAATACGACGTTCGTGTAAACGTCTATGTAGACGTTTCAACGCACTCAAAATTACATTACAAATGTTGTTAAGAAAAACCGAGTAAAAATCGTATAATCACTTGTAATTGGATTACGGATAAATTATGTCGACGTTATTATGTTTAACGTTTATGCAACAAAAATTCTGGACGGTAATAATATTGATAGAACGCGGCACAACGCACTTCTATACGCGCGGAAATTAACAAAAAATATTTTGATAATAAATAATTGGTCGTTAAAAGCACGAATCATACGTATTTATTCAAGAAGTATAAATCGATTGTAGGTACAAATACATTTCGGCGTAAATCAAATTTTAAACAATCACCAGGAAGTATTATAATATACTATTCTTCCATGGGATATTTCAATAATCACGCAACAACGATTACTTTATTGTTGTAATTATAATTTTTTTATTGTACAGAAATCTACTGAAGGATTACACTTTATTTAACATAAATTTATTATAAATATTAAACGATGGATTTTTCGTATTAAAATGTCCTCTCCGATATGAGATTATCTGATTTACATAGGCGGATACCTACAAGTGTGTTTACTGGATTCACGGCGGGGTGAGGCGCAAAAATTAAATGTGAAAATGACCACATCGCGTGCTGTGTTACGTAAACCCTTTTTATTACCGGGTATAGCAAGCAAACATACTTGAAGGTATTCCCGTTTAATAACATCATAACGTAGTGTTAATTATTTCGATGATAATGTTCCTGTACGATATATTATTATCATTGTGAAATGTTTAGACACTATCACGCGGACGATCGTTAAATACCGTGTGAATAGACAATTTTTTTAATTTTTATTTTTTTCTGTTTTGTAATCTTATATTAAAAAAAAAAAAAAATAATAATAATAATAATAAAAATAAAATACGCGTGCGTTATTAAAACGCAATTTCGTATACAATGCGAAATGTTTTAGCCGCGTCGTCGTCGTATAAATACTGCTTGAATCGTGAAGGGGTGGTGCAGGGGGACGAAGTTCCTCTAATGTATGTTTCTATTTTTCCAGCGTCTTCTTTAACTTATTATTTCTATTGAATGGTACGTATCTTTTCGCAAATAATTATATTTTCAAAAAACATGTATTGTCAACCCAGATACGTTTTCGATATTATTAATTATGTATATTTTTTTTAGAATTTGTATTATAATATATTAATATTAAGTTCTAAAAACAATCAGATATTGTACCATCGTTAAGCCTTAAATTGTCATCGCTATTAAACCTTTTGTACTATAATTTTTCCCAGAGTAATAACAAAGTAGGCAATTTGATTAAAATAAAAACGCCATAATTTTATTCTGAAAATAATTAAAATATTAAGAAAATTAATTGACACAGGGTACCGGATATTTTCACAAAAAATAATAATAATAAAAAAAATTCTTGATATTATTAACGTACCATAAATTGATACAAATTATTTTCGTTCTATAAAACATTTCATTTTAATAATATTTTGAGTAATAATAAACGAGTTACAGATAATATCAAATTTTTACACAAATTAATATTGTTGAACTATATACAAAACATGACATATAAAAAACTTCAAAACTGCATTTGTTTTTTTTGTTTTTTACAGAAATCAGCTTTTGTCATGATTATATCAAATGCGTATAGCATATAGAAAGGTGCAAAAATAATTTACGTAACGTGAAAATAATAACGCTTTATGAACAGACAATAATGCCCCACGTGTATTCGCCATCTGATTATATTGCACTTGGTCAATTATCGTTTACAGTGAAAACACGAAAAACGGTGTATCACAATATTATACTATTATATAGGTATTATATTTCCCACGGGACAGACGGTGTGATATGTCTCGGATACTCTCTAAATATTATAGAATTTTGAACGGTTATGACAACGTTAAGTAGGCATATATTATATACAAGGTGATTTGTTCCTTTTTTTTTTTTTTGGTTATTTCGTGATCGCCTATAATACGACGATTTTGAGTGAAATTGATTTTTCGTTTTTCGCCTATCTTACAGGTGTATACGAAATGTTAAGCATTTTAGCCTTATTTCGTGCCACACATTATATTATTTTCAACTTTTGAATTTCAAAAAGTCTCTCTCCATTTGCAAGCCTTATATGTAAAAATCGTTAGAAAATGTATTATCCCTATCCCTACTCATCTGATCTAAATTTCAAGTATTTGAACGCTTATAAATCGTGTATGATATGTTGGATTAGGCTAAAATCACCATACTGTTTTGAACATTTTACCACTTCTAGAAAAAACCAATATAAATATTCTGTAAATTGCAAATATCTATGATTATTTTTAACCGAATCACTACAAAAAACAAAATAGAAAATTATGAAATTTTATTGTCGTAGATTTGTCAGTTTTCCTACACCTGTTAGGCTCAGGTTTTCCCAATTATAATGAAAAATATTTGAAAAATTAAAAAAACGAATTTTTTAAACATTAATTAGGTAGACAAAACAGTTTTTCAGCAAATATGCTACTCTTAAAACGCGAAGCAAGATTTTTGGTAGAAAACGAAAACCGTAAAGATTAAAAAATAATAATATGTTAATACAGTAAATATATGTTGTTTTTCCTATATGCAAATCACATGGACCTTCGAAATGCACCAACCTATAGATAATAGAACCGAAATGCAACAAAAAAACTCTGTAGTCATTTTTCGATTGGCGAAGTTTTCCGATTGAAAAGTTGTTCAAAGACAAAAAAAAAAAACATAGAAAATAGAACACATCTTAATATACTCAAAATCTAAAACAGAAATCGAATTCACTGGACATACTCCGCAAAATCCGATGGATCGTGATAAAAAAAAAAAAAAAATACCATACACATAAGACAATTTTTTTTTTTTTTACGAATAAAAGCTATTATTAATATTAATATATTGTCGAATGTATAATGACATTCTTGATAACAGCATTATAGGTAATACGTGGGCCAAGAAGGTGAGAACCAAATGCAACTTTTTCAGGAGAAGCGAATAATAATTTATTTTTGAAATTAATTTACATTTCTATTTAATTGGTTAACGAAAAACTATGTTAACTTTGCTTTAAGAGTTTATTAAAAAAAAAAAAAATAATAATAATAATCATTTTTCGGTTGATACATTCCTCTGAATTTAAACCGACGCATACCGAACACGTTTCCGGTAATACAAATAATAACAAATAATATACCTACGTGTGGCAACAACACGCCAACGCAATCAAACTGTAGTTGTGTATTATCGATTTTCGTCTGTTTTGTAACATCCTACCTACTTGTTTTTTCTCCGTTCAATCATCGCCTTACAAATTATTATTGGCAATATCGTTATTGTTACTGCATATTATCGTTTATAATATTTATTTCATAATGTTATGATAATATTCGGCGTGTACGAGTCATGACCATCACGACCGACGAGTGCACTCAACCGTCATAAATATAGAGTAGGTATCGGAGAAATCAAAACTAAACATCGTATTTTTCACGGCGATCCTAGCATAATAACAATACATGTATCGAACGTTTGTTGGTTTAAGGCATACACGGCAGCCAAATAGGTCTACAAATATATACAGGGTGATTTTTTTTTTCTCAAGAACCAATGACGTACTTACCGTTTACGTATAGATTCTGAGTACATTTGATTTTGGTTTTTCAGTCATTACCTATATTATATATTTATAACAATAGTATGTAACTGAGCGTCGCGTTTAACGAGCACATTTTTAACATTTCTAAAATTATTCCGCATATCGTAAGCTGTATCGACTTTTTCTTTTCGAATGAAAATGTTTTTTTCTAACAATTATTTTTGTACGCATAACACTAAAACGTCGGATATTATACTAATATAACCATGGGCGCGGGCAGGAAATTTATCAGGGGGGGGGCATAATAAAATCAAACACCAAAAAATACTTAAAATAAAACAATATTGATTAATTATTAAATTTATATTTGAAATTTTGAAGTCCAAGGGACAGATGTCCCGTCTTGCCCCCACCCCTACGGGCGTCCGTGAATATAACGTTTATATACGAGTTTAAAATTTAGACCGGATAGTAGCCGGAACCCCGACGTATAGTGCATTTTATACCCTAACGGTGCAAACATCTTTGAATATCTTTTGATTATATCTCTGGTCCTAGGGAAGAAAGGCTTAAGTTAATTTTGTATAATTTGTGTACATATATTTATGTATTTAAAACAAAAAATAGAGGGGGAGGGGAAATGACACAAGATAAAATTATAAATCAAAGTGGCAATATTTTTAGTCTTTCTTTACTGAAAACAAATATATTATTTAGAAACGGTAATCCGATGTTATCAAAATGTTTCGATAAGTATTTTGTGATGGTATCTTTCCGAATCGGAGTTCAAATATACGCTACAGAATACTATATTTTATATATATTTGAAAATCAATAAGTTGACATAGTATATACTTTTATGATGGGCATAATGAAACAATAATATACGCGGTGTGATAAGAATAGTCTAAAGAGACGAGTGATGGTCACAAATCCAAATAGAACACCACGCTCCAGAGGAAGACTGCGACAACGATGGCTGGATCGTGGCAAACAGATATTTGAATCTGGTGAATGAAATAGTGAAAATAAAAGTTTCCGTGTATCATTTGTGTGACGGTACGGCGCGCGGAGTTTTAATAATGCACCGTACGTAGTGCATCTCTTCCAATTTACACTTAAAAGTGGAATATCTCGTCAACGACTTTATAGAAATCAAAAATTTTAGCACTCAAATTTATTTTAACCAATACTCCATCTATTTACGGACATATTAATATAGGTTGCTGTTTGAAAATCAAAAGTCGGTAGTGGTTTTACCCCTAAAAATTAAGGTGACAAAAATAACATACAATATAACAAATATACATTTGTAAAGTTGCTTGTTTCTTAAACAATATAGAAAACAAATTCCGTAAAAATGTTTATACTTTCCGAGATACTGAGTGTACCCACTTAAATGGATCATCCGGTATATACCTCGCACGTATTTAAACCCGTATTTCGGACATCACGTAAATATTATAGTTACAAAAATATCATTAACTACACTACAGACGAAACGTTTTCACCACTCCACAGTTTGTATGTGCTGCGCAATTCTCACAATGCCATGTTATACGATACCTATTTAAATATGTATTACCGGTGTAACGATATTATTTGCTACGGAGCATTGTAATTTGAACGGTTTCTCGTTTGTAGCAATAAATAACTGGCCTATATCGTCGTCGCCGCGATATATATTTTAATATGTTATACTGGAGTCTCTCCTCCCGTCCCTCATCCCTGTAAAATTGTATTATTTTTCTATGTAAGTACATCAAACGAAACGAGTTACCCTACTCGGTTTGTGATTTCGTATTGCCGGAAATCATATTTATCGGTTGAATTTAAATTATAATATTATTCACCTAGATATTAGTCGCTGCTATTTTCAAGGCTGGACATTATAATGAATCAATAAGATCAAAAATCAAGTTTGTTTTTAACTTTTAAATTTTGATTTTGAATATTATCGCGTTAATTTGATTTAAACTTCGTATGATTTAAACACAACATTAAATTTACGATCTATACACGCTATTTGATTAAATACCGTATTACCATTGGTAATATTATGGTATTTCAATGAAGCGTTCTGTGGAGGAATATATTTTCGGGATCCGCATACGTATAAAATTGCTTATATAGCTCCTTCACTTCTAGGAGGATTTTTTTGATAACGTGTTATCCTTGTTCTCTACTATCTTATTAGAAGGAGTTATATAGGCAATTTCGTATACAGATCCGGAAAATGTATTTCTCCAAAGAATGTCTCGTGTATTTAATGGTACGATTGTAAATACTTTATCTATAAAAACGCTTAATAGGTGATTTTAATTTTAAGGAGATATTCCAGTGACGTCGTGTCGTGCCGTGTGCCTTTTGTCGTATTCGTAAACTCGGTATATTGAGGTAATATTGAGTAATCAAAACTAACCGGGAAATTTTATCGAGTTGGGTTAATTTCAACTTTTCTCTTGTTTGAGTTACAGTGCGGTTAGTTAATTCTTTTGATTTTATCGTCCTTTATTCTGTGGACGTGACACGAGTACACGACACACGACGTCACTGGGATATTGCATTTATACATTTAGACGGTTTAATATGACGGTTTACAAGTGAGCCGACCTTTTCTTTTCGATGATTAAATGAGAAAAACACTGAGACCATAGTTGTTTTCTCTCACAGCTCAGTCACATGTCAGCCTATCTCTCTTGATCCGTTCGCCTCCGGTACTCGGTACTAATACTGCGTACATAGATTTAAAAATCTTTCCGTGTTTATCTGTTATATTATTTATAATTAACCACCATGCACGGATGGTAAATCAATGATTTTCACGGGATGGCGGGGAACAAAAACACGAAATATATCTTTATTTCTACCCAGATTATCCTTTTTGCTCATCAGATGTCGTATGGTTTTCTCGCAACGCAAAGGGTGTATAGCGAAGGCGTAGTCCACTATAGTTAATTATAGGTCATGATGTCAACCCATTGTGATGTGCCACACACTATAGGTACATGATCCACCTTATTATCGCAATTTCTTTCCGTTAAAATAATAATAATATTATGTTCGTCTCCTTTCTCCGTGGCGCGTGTGTCTAATACACATGGCCGCCGACCGACACAATAAAAATCGTATTTTATCGTCAACGCGTTTTAACAGGGCACACCAGTATTTTACACTGTTATTATGAAGCAATTAATGCGCGCGTGCGGGGTAAAGATACGTCACACATAATATTATTAGTATCCTCCGACGAATCTTTTAATATTAATATTATATTATAAAATCGTATTCGTTTCATCAGCGTAATAATACAGTTAATATGATTTCATCGCGTTTTTCGGGAGTTTCTATTATTATTTATTACCGCCAACTATTTTATATTATTTGTTTTTAAATAACACACACACATATACATATATACACACTTATAAACGCGTGGTTACGGGGTGTACATAATGCAGTGTAGTCGCACACCCTGAGAGTCGTGTCTAGGTTCTTAAATTGGAAATATAATGTAATTTCAATATAATTATAAACAAAAACTGAAAACGTGTAATACCTATATTAATATTGTTCTCTGTGTGTGATATTAGTGATATCACTCGTATATTGTATTATCATTTATCGTTGTTAAATGAATATAAAAGGCTTAAATACTTTTAGTAAAAGCACTTGGGGTGCTACCAATAGTGCATACCTGTCTACAAAAATTATCAAAATAATATGATAGTTCCCCGAATTTATTTGTAGTATGCTTTCGACTTTTGTGGCCATAAAAGTTCTTAACTGGCAGCTACTCCTATGAAAGGAAATTTCCTAAATTAAATATTGTAAAAACAAAATTCAGGATTCATATTACACAATAAAGACTTGATTCAATATGCTCGTGATATTTGTGGAACGACATCTGGTAACTTAAATTAACTTTGATGAAGCTATCGAAGTATAATTTGAACCAAACATTAAATCTTAGACATTAGACTTTTAGACTGTTTAGAGTTATAAAATATAAAACACAATTATATTATTACAGTTAGTTGTTTTTTTTTTAAAAGGAATTTTATAGGTGTTGGATGAGTATGACATTATTTTTTGCACCTCCTACAGACGGAACTACAACGGTTTGAAAATAATTCTATACATTTACTGTGTATAATTGACATAATTTGGGCTTTGAATCTTGGAATAGAGGATGGACAATTTTTGAAGACTGATGGGATGGATTTATTAGTTAAGACTTATTTTCAGCAGAATTTAATGTTTACGAAAAAAAGGTCATCGCCAGTATAATATTGTCATGTATTTAAAGAAGACAACTAAAAGATAATTGATAAATAGAATTATAGATATTAATGACAAACAGAATTATACGATTTATAATAACGGATTCGCTTTTCGTGGATTTAAAACCAAATTTGTATTTTAATTTTTATAAATTTTTTTGTACAATTTCGATTTTATTTAACAATTATTTTGGGCACATAATTTTAATTAGGTATCCTAATTTGTAATATCATAAATATACCTCTGGCATCGTATTTCGCAAGTATGTTTTGATTCTCTTTAAAGCGGAGAAAATGCGTTCGAACGTAGTAGTAATGTACCTACGTATAATGGTTTTAAACAAATGCACCGATATTAGTCTTAGTTGTGTATTGTAAAAACAATGAGAAAAAAAAGACAAGGAGGGGACAATTTTACACCATGATCCTTCGCCTCCAAGATGCTGTGTATTTAAAATATTATTTTAATAACACGGTTTTTAATTATGTGTTTACAGATCAGAATACATTTTATTATCACGATATTCATTTGGCTCGTGTCATGGACGGCTTCCATTGAAATTCCTCACAGTTATCTCGAAAATCCGAGCAAGTAAGAAACGTCGTAATACAATATAATACTTATACCTATTATACCTAATAATTTATTACAGAAATACTGCAATAAAGAGGATTTTGTTTTATTTCATCAAATAGAAATAGTAATAAAATCAAAAACTATAAAATAATAAGGTGTGGGATAAAGTAAATATTAGAGTTGGACGAGTTTTGATTTTTTTTCAAATCGAGGCGAGTCGAATTAAGTATCAATTAATTTCGAGTTCAAAAGTCAAGTATTCGAATTAACGATTATTGAAAAAAAATTTGTTGAATCGAATCGAGTCGAGTAGAACTTGATCAAAAAACTTGTCAAAGCCGAGTACTCGACAAACTTTATTAAATACAAATACGGTGTAGGTATTGAACTTGAGAGGATATCAGCATCGGATATGGGCACGATTTTAACGAAGTTTTTAAAAATTCGAAAATTCACTTTTAAATAAATTTAATTGTTCATGTGACGTGTTTATTGTGTAATAATTTATAATCAGGTTTGTTGAAAAAAACGTATATGTAAAACAACAAAAAAAAAAAAAATATAAATTAAAAAGATTAGGTAATCTTTTTACCTTCATTTAAAAGTAAATTATTTGTTACGAAAATTAAATACGGCAACACATTATCTATAGGGTTTGACAGATAAAATGTCAGTTTTTTTCTCGCTCGAGACGGTGTATACAAGGTGATCCATTTAATTGGGTTCACTCATTATCTCCGAAAGTATTTACTTTTATTGGAATATGTATAATACAACGTTTAAGAAAGAAGCAACTTTACGATTTTACATTTATGTTATTTTTTGTCACCCTTATTTTTGGCGATAAAATAATACTTATGTACTTATGATTTTCAAATGGAAACCTGTATTTAAAAATCCATAGTAGGCATTGGTTTACTCCCAAAAATAAGGGTGACAAAAAATAACAAATGTAAAATTGTAGAGCTGCTTGTTTCTTAAATTAATTATTATATTAAACAAAGCCCAAAAAGAGTTAATACATTCCCAAATAATGAGTGTACCTACCTAAATGGATCTCCTTGTACATAATATATATCTATTATAATAGATATTCAAGATTAAAAATCCGTTTTTTTTTTCGTTTTAAGGCTATCCGCAACTTACACCGTGTCTCTTTTTTATACCTTTTCCAGAGGTCCTCCGGCCTTTTCACAATTTAAAAAAAAAAAAAAAAAAAATTCGTATAATTTATACTGATATGTCAAGGGATTGCCCTTGATAATATTGGTTTTTTATCATATAATATTCTATAGGCTGTTTTACGTTAAACTATTTCAAAATAAACAGATTTCTCTACACAAGGTTTATGTTCTAAAACGGTTGCGCTGACATCCTCTTAACATCAGGAACAAATAAAAACGTTATTTTCGTTTACTGATTGAAGTTGTTTCGACATTATAAAATTATTACTATTATTTATTTATTCTGTAATTGTAATCGGTACTTGTATTTCCTTTTTTTTTTTTTTTTTAAAAAAAAAATTGGAATTTTGCTACCTATTCTAAATAACATTTAAATATTTATTTTTTATTGAAAATGTCAACAATTCGATAATCATTTATTTTTCTAATTCGATTATAATAGGACGGTATATTAAAACATTGTATCGGCGATTTACTTACATTTTTTTTAATCGTACACGTTACAAATATGTTCCTTATCAATCGACATCAAATCGAAACAAAAACGATAAAGCGATGTGTAATAATATCCACGCGGTGGATATCCTACGAGGTATTGTTCGTGGTTATAAAGGTATCTGCAAAAGTATGTCTAAATCGCCATTTAACGCCGTCATAAGACCGTCTACGGCGACTTTTACCGTAAATATTGTTCGGCAATTCGTCAACTGCGTCTGCGAAACAGGTTAGCTATACAATAAACGTCGATTTGAATGTTTGTTTTGTTTGTGTTTTGTCTTTTTTTTTTGTTTTTTTTTTTTTAACCGTCACACGTAACAAACAAGTTTTCAAACGAGCGAATGATTTAACATAATAATACATTTTGTTTGTGCGCATTAATTTGCTTGAATGTAATGTGAATATTATAATGTACCTCGCTTGGGATTTTCGTTTTTTTTTTTTTTTTTTTTTTTCATGTTCAACTATTTTCTAATAAATTATTACTTATTATTATTATTATTACCGTATTCGCGCCGTTGCGCATTTCGTACGGAATCATTCGACCGTGCAGTGGTTATTATTATTCTCCTCTACTGTTTAGCCGATTTTTATTCGAAATTTGTGAGAAAAAGATACAAATGTTGCACCCACTTGCCTAGTATACGTTGTGTATAGTTCGAATAAAAACGACAGGGAAAATGAACCGAGGTAAACGAGTCAAAAACTTAACTTTGAACTTGTGTTCTTCGATTTTCATTAACCCGAGTTATTTTTTTTTTTTTGCTTTACATTAACTTATACAAATAAAAGTATAGTTCCCGAAATAAACCCCCTCAATCCTCCCCTGTTTGTTAAACGGAAACCAACCAAAAAAAAATTAATTATGATATCAATGAGCTTATGAGCAGGGCATGGGACATATAGCATTTAAAATTCACCAAAAATCACATGAAAACGTCAAAAAAAACCTGAGAAAAAGCACTTAACTCAAATATTATTAGAACTAATGGTAGAAAGGTTTAGATGTCCTCCTTCTAACGGTTTTAATTTATTAAATACGATTTTCTAACGCTATACCGATTATTTATACTAAGTTATTTTTTTTTATAAAACGTATTATTTCATTTAAATAAAATACATTTTTGATAATAATTTATGTTGAGGTAGAAAATTATATTTAATAATTTAGAGTCGTTAAACAGCGGACATTTAAACCTTCTACCATTTGGTCTGATAATATTTTCTTGAAGTGTTTTTTTTTTCTAGGTTTTTTGATATTTTAAATGTTTTTTTTGTGAATTTTAAAGTGCTATAAGTCCCGAACTCTGCTTATGAGCGATAAAAAAAATTTATTGAGTTCCCAATACGCATTTGTTAAACGAAAATATTTTACACCATTATCATCTACAAAAATATTTACGTACAATTTACCGAAACATTTTTTTTACGTTAAAATTATCATCTCTAATTGTGCACCCACTGGCAACTTGGAATGCATATTTTTCAGATTATTTCAGTTTCTGAGCATCGCGCGTCACGAAGAATGTGTCGATTTCACTGTGAAGTGTTTTTTTTTTTTATATAAAAAAAATAATAGTTTTTCCAGTCTTTGAACAGTTTTTCCACCAAAAATATTGTACCGACTCAACTAGAGTGGTTTCTGTGAATTTGTTCGTGGAGTTTTTTTTTTTTTTCTAGGGGGTTCCGTAGAAGGGATGTATACACGTTAACGGACAATGCTCGCTCGGCCCCAATTCCGACCGATTAGTCATGCGGCTGGCGGTTAGCGGTCGGAAAACCCAGTCGGTTTATCTAGGATTTTCAGATCGTCGCAATAATTATCCCACTCGTTGGTCGTAATGAAATTGCATTTTGTGAATTACAATATTATGATATAAGTAGTAAAATTAAATTATCCGAGGTCAACAAGTTTACGAATCAACGTTATTATAATATCATGTACCTGCAACTCACTTGTTTATCACCGTGTAATTTTTACTGTTCGCACACTATATTATTGCATTGTGTTGTACGTAACTGTTGCTAAAAAAATGTATATGTATAAAATATATCCGCGTGTGTTGCTTGCGAAAAAAATATCCCGTGTGCGCTTTCCAGAATTATTATAAAATATTCACTGCAATCGGTCGCGGCAATCCACTAAATAATAATTATAACTCGATGTGGATGCGGTTAAACTTGCCAAAAACAGAAACTCATACATCATGAAATATGATTACAATAGTATTTACACGATAATCAGTATGAAGTTTACAGGACGAAATCGATTTTGGAACATTTTCATCTACAAATTATAATTATAGTCATATTAGTTCCAGTATTCCACGGATACGAATTGGGGTGGACCGCCCTCCTATGACCATCGTACCATTTTTTTCTATTCATATTCGATTTGATCCATCTATAAGGTCAAAGAAAAAAAAAAAAAAATGAAAAACCGAATCGTATAAATACTAGTATTTCAAAGAATATTTTAATTTAATATTTTGGACTCAGTAACCGCTGAAAAACAAAACGGGAAATCAATTGAAACTTAACTTAACCTATCCCTCGGTTACTAAAGACTGGTTTCGTGCCCTTTATTACAATACTGTATAACAATACAAAATACTTACTTCCGATTCAGCTACAACTGCTACACGGGATTCAGCATTTCGATTGGGGGCGAGGGGGATATGTGTAAGGGAAGTTCTCATAGTAATATTATATCTGAATATCGTACGATTATCGTGTACAATTTTTATTTTTCTGAAGCCGGTGCGTGCAGGAGTCTGACAAGTTTCATCGCACAGCGACCGACTGCAATTATTGCGCATAATGTATTTCGTATATCACTCGACGGCAGAACAACACGGTAATATTGTAATCGGTGTACACATTTTGTTTTTCAGGATATGCCCTCCGGACTCGAGTTGCAAACACGTGCAACCGGAATCGCCTGTGGCACGGTGGATAGGTTACAGCGTTAAATACAAACAATGGCGGAACTGCATGTGCGACCACGATTGCCAGACGTACGGCGACTGTTGCACCGACTATCCGTATTTCGACCCGGTCAAACAGCAGAGGGCCGCGGCCCAGCACGTTTGCGTGGAGATCGACTCGGCGGCGGCGGAGACGTCGGCGGCGACGGAATCGATGGCCGATGCCTCCAACGGCGCCCAGGCGTTGGCCAAGTGCCCGGCAACGTGGTCGGATCGGTGGATCCAGGACGCGTGCGAAACGCCGCCCCGTGTCGGCAAAGCGTACGGCATGATCGACAACCCGGTGACCAGCCGGCTGACCGGCCGGGTATACCGGAACCGGTTTTGCGCGGTATGCAACGGCGACGCGGCGGACACGGTCCTTAGCGCCACCAAGATCGTTTGCGACGATCTGATCGACGTGGATTCCGAGCTGGAACACTCGAAAGTGCTGGACACGCTTCGGTACAACGATACCACCGGACGGTGGGCAGTCCAGTACGCCAACTACACGTACGATTGCGCGATCAAGACTGTGTTGCCCGCGATCTCGGCGATTCGGCCCTGTATTACGGGCACGGTGGGCACGTGTCACCCGAAATGGCCCAAAGACGACAACATCCGGTCTGACTGCGAAGCGTACACTACGGTGGTGTACAAAGGCATCGAAACGTACAAGAACCCCCATTGCGCCATGTGCAACCACGTGGCCGTGCAGAACCTGACGTGCAAAGGCTTATTGGATCTGAGAGCGGCACCTCACTTATTCAGCTTCTCGGCGCTCTTTATCGTCCAACCGGACGCGCGCAAGTGCCGCGGACGTTCCGACAAGTTTTTCGACCCTTTCAGCAAAACGTGCCAACCACTGGTGCCCGTCAGTGACGGCGTGCCGCTCAACTGTTCCGCGATGGCCGTGTACGTGACCGTGCCGACTGCCAACTGGCAGCCGCCCGACACCGTTGATTACGTGATGCTGAATAACGGCTCGATGGCCGTGTGCGAGAACGCCACGTCGTCCATCGTCGCCAACATTACCGACAAATCGGTACAGTCGGACGCGTCCGAAGCGTTCCACTCGGCTCTGGTCACGTACGTTGGCCTGGGAGTGTCCGCGGTGTTCCTGATCGTCCATTTGGCCGTGTTTGCCGCCCTACCCAGCCTGAGGAATCTGTCCGGTAAGAACTTGGCTTCGTTTTGCGTGTCACTCATCGGTTCGTACGCCGCGTTCGTGGCGGGCAACTTGTGGCCCGCGGGTCCCGGGAGCGGTTGCTACGCCATCGCCGCACTGACGTACTATTCGTTTCTCACGTCGTTCGCGTGGATGTTGATTATGAGCTTCGACTGTTGGCGCACCCTTCGCTTGGCCACCAGCGAGTTGCGCATCACAACGGGCCGGCAGACGAAAAAGTTTCTCGTGTACTCGGCCGTGTGCTGGCTGGTTCCGGCCATGATGACGGTGGTCGCAGTGACCGTGGACACGGTGCCCGCGGCCGCCGCCGCCGTTATCGGTGCCGACGTGCGGCCCGAGTTCGGCACCGACGATCACTGTTGGTTCGGCAACACGGACGCACTGCTCGTGTTCTTCGTGAGCCCGCTGTGCGCCGTCATGGCCGTCAACTTTATGCTGTTCGTCTGGACCGCGTACATGATCCACTCGAGCCGCGCCACCGTCCGGCACGTCAACACGCGGCACGTCCGCCGCAATTTCCGCATGTACTGCCGGCTGGCCGTGCTCATGGGCCTGACCTGGAGCACCGGCATCGCGGCCCGGTTCACCGACAGCAAATACTTGTGGATACTGTTCGTGGCACTCAACACGTTCCAGGGCCTGTTCGTGTTCGCGGCGTTCACGTGCCGCCGGCGGATACTCGACTCGCTGTTGGGTGGCGGCCACCGCGACGGCGGCCACGTCAACCACCTCCATTCGCTGCAGGGCTCCGAGAAGGGCATCATCAACGACAAAAACCAACGGGTCGCGATCCCGTCGTTTTCCTGGTCGTCCAGCGACCACAGCGCCGCCGGTCCCGTCAGCTCGGAGAAAACGTCGGACACGCTTTATTGATGACGACGACGACGACACCGCCCGACGACGACGCGCGGTTAGGTCACGCGGCCCGACCACTTACCTCTAACCTACCGTTCGATTTTAAATAAATGTATTATTTTATACGAATCAAAACACAACTCGAAGACTGAACACTATAATAATATATTATGTACTTACTGTCAGGTCATAAGATTGCTGCGGACGACGGAACGGTTTCCAAAAAAAAAAAAAAAAAAAAAAAAAAAAAAAAAAAAAAAAAAAACCAAAAAAAAAAAACAAAAAGAAATCCGTGTTATTTTTTTTCTTTTTGTTTTATGTTATTCTGCATAAGTGTTTATAAACACGTCCTCCCCCCTCTCTCTTCCCCGCTAAATGTTATAACGCGTATTTTTTCGTAAATTCAGGTATGATACATTATTGTATACACGCGTTTGTGTTTGTTTTTAATTTAAGTACCCGCAAATTCGCCGGTATTGTACTGTCGTAATAATATTATTGTAACATACGTATTAAGATTTTTACGATTCGAATTTCTTCACTCGGTTTGCGTTGATACACAATAGTACCCATTTAATATGTAACTGTATTTGTAATTATTATATTATTATTATTATTATTTTTGACGATAAATTAAAGTACCCACTTTTGATACGTATTAAAGGAGGGCTTTTGATTGTTTTTTTTTCTCGATTTCCACAACGGTTTCGAATTGTATTTTGATAACTATTGTTGTGCTGCGGGTTTCTGTTTTTACGTTACATTTTCGCTTATAGGTCGAAGAAGGACGACGCGGAAGACATCACATCGTTGGAAGAATCTGGTGAAGACGACAAAACTTTTAACACCAGCGTTATTATAAGGTATTTATATTATCGATAATACGTAAATATTTTAAAAGAAAAAGAGAAGAACCCCTAGTGTTTCGAAAAATATAAGTTCCGTGCATTTTTAGAACCCCCTATATAATAAATCACGAGTGAATTTATTTCCGCGTAACGAATCTATGGATGTTTCTGTAAAACGAACAAATCCTTGGACTATAACGAACCCGTTTTCGTACAGTGTGGTTAGAAATATTTAATGTTATTGCGTAAAAAATAAAAATACAATTTTCCATCTGATAACGACAAAATACCAACGTTCGGAAGACGAAGCCGATTAATTACACTGCAGTGCTGGCTGCAATTCCGACATTAACGAGGACAAAAATTTGGAATTTTTTTTTTTAATGGAGATAAAAAAGATAAAGACGAACAACACGATATTCCGAAATGTTCTCTTTCGAATGTATTAGTAAAAAAAAAAAAAAAAACATGCGAACATATTTAATACTGTAAAAATCAATTAAATAAACTTTTTTTTTTTATAAAATTACAAAAACAATAAACAAACGGAACTCACAGATTATTTCCATTGAAATTCAAATAAGTTAAAATAAAATGTACCAAAGCAATTTCTTTTTTTTTTTAAATTTAATATATTAATTTCATTAATCGAATAAAAATAAAAATCCATAGTACTATTCAACATGAATATTTCTTTGTAATACGAATTTTCGGTTTTTTGTTGTCCCCCACGAGGCTTCGTTAATAATATACACATGTTTTACTGCATTAAAATAAAAATAAAAACAAAAGCACATACTTCGCACGGCGGGTGAGCCAGTGTCGTAAGTGAGAAGTTGGGCAGGTAGAGGGAAAGTTTAATGTATATCTGTACGCAACGGTTAATCATTTATCGATTAATCGATTTGAAAACAACACATGTGGTAAATTGTCCCTTTTTTCCCCGTTTATTAGGGAGACCCCTGGGAAAATCAGAAAATTACTTCGCTAAAGTATCATCGCATTCAGATTTCCCTTCAAGAAAAGTGCTACACTCGAAAATCGGAAGAAAATTTCTGGTAGAAAAGTCGTTCAAGGGAAAAAAAGAATAAACATCATTGTAAAACCAATACATTCCTCGTTCCACTCAAAATCTAAAATCAGACGTAGAAATATTTTTGTTGATTTTTTTCCGCGGTAAACAAATTACTAAATTACTATCGTTATTTTGAAACGGCTATCAGCGATGCACCGTATCGTATCCGTAGGTTAGTAATATTATTGGATTCACGCGGTACCTATAAATTACAGCAATACAATGGTTTTATATTCTGAGTGGAGCGAAGAAGCTTATTATGGATTTACAAAGAACATGTTTATTTTTTTGTTTTCTGTGAACGGCTTTTCTACCAGAAAATCTTGCTCCGATTTTTAAGTGTAACACATTTTCTGAACGGAAATCGGACTGGGGAAGTACTTTGAACAAGTCGTTTTTCGATTTCCCCAGAAGTTTTCCCAACAGATTAGAAAAAAACGGGAAAAAAACTTGGGAAAACTTTAGGGAAAACGGGAAATTATGTACAATATTAAACAAATATTATTAAAGACAATATTTAATGTCTGTGCAATTATTTTACCACAATATGGCATGTATATCGTTATCGAAACAACTACACTATCAGCTGAACTCCACTCTTGATGGTTTTTTTCGTTAGCAATGATGGTTTATCGTCGCTTACAGATGTACATTAAATTTCTCTTCTACTACCTTATTCCCGATTTCTCACCTACAACAGCGGCTGCATCCGTCCCCATTATCCTAGGACAGTTTTTTTTTTTTTTTTTTTTTGTTATTCGTCACCGCATACGTGGTCGTGTGTTCGTAACGGTTATTATTTAAGAACAGTTCGAACTGGTACGCGTGTTTTTCTAAACGCGGCGGAGGATGAGCCGATGAGTGTTGGGAGTGAAAGTCGGGTGCGTGCGTATAGGTATACGTCCATTGCGGTTCTATTAAACGCATTACGCAATGAGACGACGAAGACGCGAGGGGTTCCTCGGCTCGCGTGTATAAATTCGTTTTATAATCAAATTTTGTTTTTCTTTTCAATCATATCGACGTACGGAATCGGCAGAAACTCGTGAGACCGGCCAAAATGATTATCGTTGAGTGCGGCCGCCAGTATCGTTATCCAGTGACGACGAAAAGTCCGGTGTATTGCCAAAACGATACACGCACACGTTTCGCGTGCATCCGAATATTTAGAGCCGCGTTTTTTTCAAGATTCCGGGCGCATTCTAAGACACTTTTTACGTACAGGTGGTGCAGCGCGACCTGTTCGACATTGTGTTTTCTGAGGGTTGATCTCGGGAGGGAGTGGGGGGGGGGGTAAATCCGCCCACCCTCGAAATTATTTCCCAGTTACTAGTCTTGCCGGTCAAATTTCAAATTAGGCGATATTTTTTTCGGGATGTTGAATGCAGGAATTACAAACTCGGATCGGACGTGCGCGCGAAATTAAATGCGGGAAAATGCGAATCACGTTGTGAATCCGTCGTCGAATGTAGCGTGCAGACGGACCCAGAAATTCGAAAATAGGGTTCCTGGTGGACCGCGGGGTGCCGCGCTCGAGCGGTGATAATTGAACCGGAATAACTTATTGGCCGCGGAAAAAAAACGCGTTTGCGGTCGCGTAGTTGTTAATTTTTTTTTTTTTTACGTGTATTCGTTACTATTAGAAAGTGATTTCACGCGGGAGGTAATACTTGTACTTTGTTTTCTGTACACAGGACAGAAGACGAACTGAAGTGTCAAAACGATTTCTCGTACGACACCGCGACGTTGGCCCGCTGTTACGATGACAAGGCCTGTAAAGTGTACGGCGACTGTTGCAAAAATTCCACGTACTACGAGGAGCGCGAGCAAACGTTTATGCGTCCGCGGGTCAACGCGAGCATTTACAACAACAGCCTGTACGGGTGTTTCAGGGTGGAAGGCATGAATTTCGAGTCGCTGATCATAGCCAAGTGTCCGCGGACGTTCGCGGACGCCGAAGCGACAGCCGTGGACCGCGAAATCCGGAACAAGTGCGAGCACGACGCCAGCGACACTATATCCAGATATCCAGTGACGAGCGCCGTTACCGGGCACGTGTACAAAAACACATACTGCGCCTGGTGCCACGGCGACCGGAACCGGGTGGTCTACTGGAAACCGGTGTTCCGGTGTCTCAGCTCCAACGGCATTTCTAAAGGACCGTTCCAGCTGGAAGACGGGTCCGACCGGACGCTGTTGTACCACGAGGGTCAGTGGTACTACACGGACTACGATGCCCAGAAGCTTCTACATTGCGTGTTCGAACTGCAACAGCCCAAAATAGAAGCCGCGCCAGCATTGAGGAAGTGCGTCGGCTCCCACGCCGGGCTGGTGGACGGATGTCCGGCCGGTACGCCGGCTCCGTTGGCCCGGGCCTGTGCGTCATATACATACTACTTGTTTGAGTACAACGCTGACAACGATGCCAACGTGCGGGCATTCCGGAACGTGGAATGCGCCAGGTGTAACAACGTGACGACCAAACATCTGAAATGTTCGCCGCCGCCGCCAAAGTTGCGAACCGTTGGGTTCAATGTGTTATTCAAGGCGGCTTATAAGCGAAGCGGGCCGTGCTCCCAAAACGAGCTGTACGACGTTATAGCCACCCGGTGTCGGGACGTGCACGAAGAGTTACAGGGCGCCTGCCGGAAGTCCGTGGAGTTCAAGGCCGGCGAATACGACAGCTGGACGGTGGACAACGCGTCGGTATACGTGTACAAGTACAAAAAACGGATCCGGTACCAGAAGATGGGGTCTGGTGGCACGGTAGACGTGTGCATCGAAGACGCGGACGGCCTGCTTCATCCGAACACGCGGTCGGTGTACGCGACGTACCTGGTGTACGCTGGAATCGCGGGCTCGTTCGTGTCTGTCGCGGCGCTAGTCGCCCATCTGGCACTATTCGGTTCCAGCGGCACTGAGCCCAAGAATCTGCCTGAAAAGAACCTGGCCAGCTTGTCCGTCAGTCTGCTGCTGGGCTATTGCGGCTTCTTGTCCATCGCGTTAAAGGCTACGCCGGCCGGCTCGGGCTGGCCGTGCCTCACGTCCGCGCTGGCTACACAGTTCGGGTTCCTGGCCGCGTTCTCGTGGATGTTTATCATGTCGGTCGACGTATGGTCAGTGCTGAACGCGTCGACCAAAAAGCTCCGAGTGGTCGGCGGTCAGCGGAACGGCCGGTTCATCGCTTATTCGACGTTCGCGTGGCTCGTGCCCGCCTCCCTGACCGCGTTCTCCGCCGTTTTACAGCTGTCTAAGAACCCGGTGGTGCCCGAATTCCGGCCAAACTTCCAGTACAACTGCTGGTTCCGGAACCCGCAGTCACTGATCGCGTTGTTCGTGCTGCCGGCCGGCGTAACGATCGCCGCCAACTACGTGTCGTTCGTGGGCGCCGTCCGGCTGATATCTTCGTCCGGCGTCGACGGATTCAAGTCGGCCGGTTCCAGTTCGACCGCCGCCATAAACCGTGCCCGCAAGAACTTCAAAATCTACGTGCGGCTATCGCTGATGATGGGCCTGGCTTGGATTTTCGGGCTGGCCGGCGCGCTCACAGACAGCGACGTCGTGTGGACCGCGTACACGGTGCTCAACTCGCTGCAAGGCGCGTTCATATTCCTCGCGTTCGACTGCAATTGGAAAACGGCCAAGACGTTGGTGGCGTTCCGCAAAGTGGCGTCCGTGTCCGACACGCAGACCACCAACATCACGCCACTGAGTGCGACCAACTAACCGCGACAACCGTTAACCAACGCGTTCCGGTCACCCGTAGTGATTTGTCGTTATTTTATCGCTTAACTACCCCGTCCCCCCCACCCCCGAGTGTTGTATTGACACTATTCGCCATTTTGGTTTCTAACGCGTATTGTGCATCACATCACTTTCGACCGCAAACTTTTTACTATATATATATATATTTTTTTTTTTACACGGAGAACAATCCAAAATCAGATCTTTTTTTATTTTATTCTGCCAATTTCCTTAACTATTATCATTAATTTTTTTATTAATTATCGTCGAATTAAAATAGCTTGTTTAGTATACGATAACATTAACCCATATGCGTAACATAATACGCATAATGACCACTCGGGCATGTTTCGATTCGACACCGGACAGTGAGTTTAGGTAATTAATATTGTTTCCGCAGAAATCTGAAACCGACGAAATCCGGACGTGTTTTCTTTTCCGAATAATCCATTCAGTCACAACAATATTTTATTCGTTATTTGGGCTGGCATACCTGTGAAAATTGAAAATGTTCAAATACCCGTGTTGTCTGTTGACTGTAGTTTTATTTAATGATAGATAAATAATATTGCAATAGGCACCTACACAATTTATAACAAAAATTGTAGTACTGTGCGCGGGAAAAATAAGTATTTTAAATATTAAACGAGATTTGGTTTATGCATTTGTGTTAAATATTAAAACATTAACGTAATATTGTCTTATTATAATTTAATTTCTCTTTTTTAATTATTATTAATATTATATATTGTTTTAACTAATTCGTGTTGGTATGATGATAATATTATTATATTAGTTATATTGTTCCTAATATTTTTTTTTTTTTTTATTCAACATTGTAATAATATTTATATAAAATAGTATACTATAATGTTGTTGCTTCAACAAGGTGTATTATTTTAATGTAGATGGGATGAGCTAGATTGTACAATGGTACGTCGTGCCCTGGATATCGCTGAGTATAAAATTAATTCACTTATTGAAGTATACGTATTATGTAGAGTGTCCCATCACGGAAATCGGACGAATTCAATAACTTTTGCTGTGTATCAACATTTTCAAGTATTTCTTTTTTTCTTGTAATGATAATTACTAAAGCCTCATGCTATGATGCCTCTATTTTTTATAATTTTTTTTTACAAAATCAATTTTGTAGTAGCAATAGAAACTATAAATTTAAACTGAACACTTGGAAAACTTCGACAAATAATATTAACCGATTCATCCTATAAAAATTGCCTTAATGATTTTTGTAAATTACAAAAAACTGTGGAAACTCAAGAACTCGTCATTATAGTAAATATTTGTAACGCCAACATTTTGTTTAAAAATATATGTTTATAAAATGGATATTTTGGATTTTTTTAGTTTTAATAAAAAATATAAAATTTAGGAATCATAACGCGAGGCGTTTTTAATACAAGAGAAATATTGAACGCAACAAACGTTATTTCATTCATCATTCATTTTTTCATTTTCATTCATTCATCTCCGTGGGACACCTGTATACGTATACTTATTATAACTGCTACATAATAATATTGTATTCATTCATAACGGTCGCATAGTTTTAAAATTAAAATTATTAATTTGTGCGTACCATTTCCGTTTTTCAATTAAATTATACAATATTATATATATTTATTCTCACTGAGAATTGTTCAGCTATCACATGCTTAACGTATTATATTTTTATATACCTACCTATACGTTATATTATTATGTATTGCAATGTACCTATAATACTTAATGAATTAGTTAGATTAAGTATACCGTAGTAAACTAGTTAAGTTATATCAATGAATTACGAAATTATCAATAAAATGGCATTATGGCTTTGTGCAGCGAAACTAAAATATAATGTTTTATTTAATTATAATATGGCATGGATTTTAGTATAAATAATAACCACGGATAAATCCTAGACACTCGACATTGGGAATTAAAAATCCGGATTTAACAGAGTCAATTTGTATTAAATAAATCAAGCCCTTCTCTGTAATTTAGCTGATACATTTCAAAATTAAATCGCTAAAAACATATAGGTAACATTCATAGTTGTTGTATTTTTAAGCCCATTGTGGCGTGGGGGTGAAATAACTGCCTCTTCCTTTACGTACGTAACACTACTGGAGGTATTGATTTATTTAGTATAAATAATTATTATTTATTTGTACTTTCAAAATACGAACAATTAACATTACTACTATGGGGAGGGTTTATGCGTATAGAGAAGATCAGTTGATAACTTCAGTTATGTTACATAGATGGGCGCCTAGTGCCTACCCTTACGTCGGTTTATCATCCAATAATCCTGTATGACTTTTACAGTGTTTACCTATATAGATAAAGTTGATTTAACGACCGTTATAAAATTTTAACGTTGTCTATACTGCCAGGTAAACAATGATATAAATATTAGGATAATCATATATTATAATATAGTTTTGTACAATATCGTAACCAGCTGATTATTTTATTGCTTACTATAGCCGCAGAAATTCAGAATAGACGAAAGGTAGGTATGGGTATAGCTGCAGATAAACATGTACGTTAAAAAAGTGAAAACTAAACGCATATATATATGTACCAACAATCGAAAAGTCAGCAATGATCTAACCCGAATAAATATGTATGTCAAGTGGAAAATGTATGTTTTTTTTTTTATTGTTTAGGTTTATGCAAGTAAGTAAAAAAAAAATATTGTCTGGGGCCTGAACTATATTTGTGCAGACTGTTTTATAATACAATAGAATTTATTATAGATATTTAAGATAATATTTAAGATATTGCCGAGTGAAAAAAATTATGTTACCTTTACATCATTAGCTCCTCAAAATATTACTGAACCCTATATTGTTAGGTAGGTAGGTAGGTATATTAGGCACCTGCCTACTTATCTATATTGATTAATCGGCATCAACTATAATATTTATTATAAGGAAGGACGTAAAAAAATAATATATAACAGGCACTTATAGTGCCTATATAATATATAATATGCTGTTTTAAAAATTATTTCTATTTCAACTTTCAACATTCTATACAGTGTGCAACGCTTATATTGACATATATTGACAACAAATTTCCAATGTGTGAATAGGAAATTATATAGGAATTACCTACATTGTAATTATGTAGGAAGTGTTCAAATTCTGTAGTACCCCGCACACAGCAAAGATGTATTCAATAAAAGCTTATTAAACATTAAATATTGGAATTAAGAAATATTTATTCAACATTTTAAATTCTTTGAACTAATATTCATTGAAGCTTAATTAAAGTTTAAATTGCATTTTTAGTACTCTTTTTTAATGTCGACCCAATCTTAAAAAATAAAATTTATTTTAAATTGCTTTGTAATACCTAAACAACATTATATTTTAATATTGCATTGAATTTAGATCTTATAGATATGTATTTATTTATTATATGGAAAATATTTAATAAATGTATAACACTATAAAAATAAAATATCAAGATTAGAGATGTGACGAACTGTTCGAAAACGTTACTGGAAATTGCAAATAATCGAACCTAACCAAATAGTTAATAGTCCGGTTCGAAAATCATTCGATGCGAATTCTGCGTGGTGATTAATACAATATTTTGTAGTGGTCGGCGGGACAGATTACGTCGAATACGTAATGATAACGGGTTACGGGGTCGGACCATGGGAATAGATCCGCCCCCATGACTCTTTTTGGGCACATGTACTAATGTATTATTAAATTAAATTGATATAGGTATTAATTGATAATTTTAAATTTTCAAAAAAAAAATCCAAAATTTTAATGTATTTCATCAGTTACTTCAACAGTTTACTCATCAGTTAAAAGTAATATCATGAACCACGGTTGATGATGTGACCAATAGCGAGTATAGTAGGCACTATTCGTATGGTGTGACCATAGGGTTGTGTAGTCTGATATAGAAGACTATTGTCTACTAATAAAAGTGAATCATATATATATTTATATTTTAAATTTATATCCGTGAATGGTAAAATCAAAATTAAACGAAAGTTTATTGAATATTTTATAGTTTTTAAAAAACTCGTAACATGGAGCCTGCTTATATTAAAACAACTTCATCACTTCGCTCTTCATGCTTTACATGTATTTGGAGTATAAAAATAAGAACTCAACAATAACATTTTAATGTTTGTACTATAAAGTATTTTATAAATTTAAAGAAAAAAAGAGCTGATACTGGGGATGGGAGCAGCCACTGTTGTAGGTGAGAAGCTGGGAAGGTATAATACATAAGGTTATTTAATTTATATCCGTATGCAACAATAAACCATTTCTTTATAATGAAAACGTGAAATCGTACGTTTTCTACGTTTTTCCCCGCTTAAGTACTTCTATTTAAAAATTGAAGAAATGACCTCCCATGAAAAGTTGCTATACGTAAAAATCGGAGCAAGTTTACTGGGAAAAAACGTGTCCACAAAATAGAAGAAGCAAAAAAAGAAATAAACACCTTAGAAAAACCAGTGGCTCCCTCGTTCAGAACCTAAAACATTACGAAAAACGAGGTGTTTATTTGTAATTTGGGAGAAGAGTTTTGAGGGGACGTAGACTACACGGGCCTGTAAACCAATATTTTCGTCATCCGCCCCTTAGAAAAAAGTATTTATAAATAGGTACGCTCTTATGCAGTATACATACGTTGTTGGTAACATAGTTTTACATAATATAAATGTGCAAACCTAGTTTATTCTTTCGTCGTACTTGCATTACCGTTTCATAGCAACTGCATCATATACTCTGAGAATCAATACAGTCGAACCGTGGTCAAACTATACCGGCGACTTGAATACAATTTATCGCAATCAAAAGATTTATATGTTTTAACTTTTAATTTTTTTTCCCAAATATTTTTAATAGGTTTCGGTACTTAATAAGTGTTGTATATTTTCCCAAGATTGTAAGGTTAGGTTAGGTTGCCATATTATTATGGAAGAGTTTGCGGACGCCAAAGAAAACGAAACTACTACGAAAGTCGTCCACACCTACACTCTGGTCCGAGTAAGTTTCAATATAGTTTTTGTTTGCATTATAATTATAGACTGCATATAATGATTATTTATAATATGTCCATTACGTTACTGCGGGCATGTGATATGTTGGAAGAGATGAAAATCGAATCGATCGAAATAATAATGACCGCCTGCGAGAAATACGGAACGGATTATTTTGTAAGATTTTAATTTTTCTTTTTTTTTATAAATTTCGATAAATCGCACTGCCACGCTAGTAGCTACCTACCACCTACAATAAGGCTACAACTCAGAATTGACGATTTTCGTATTTTTGCTATTGCAATTTGTTTCTTTTTTTTTCTATCTGGTGCCGCCATTTACCTGCTTATATTAAAATGTAAGTATGTGAGTGCATGTAGCGGGAAAAGGTACGACTGCTACGAAAGTCTACTGTTAATATCATATTATTATACTACGTCGAACATATTACTCCGAGTATTAACTCTTCCGAATACGATTGATACGAAAGCATACGATTCATCGATAGTAAAGATATGGATAGCATGACCTATCCATGACTTTATTATCTAAATTTGTTAAAATTGTTATAAATTTAACTTGGCATTATTAACTTATTAAAAATCGGAGCAAAATTGCTGGGAGTTGTTCACTGGAGAAAAAAGGCCGTAATATTTGTTTTACTAATACATTTTGTACATTTTTCCGTTTTCCCTGGTTTTTCCCATTTATTGGGAAAACTTCGAGGAAAATCAATAAACAACCTCCCTATAGTACCACCGCAGGGAACTTCTATTTCAGGAAATTTGTTATACTTGATACTTCAGAGTAAGATTTCTGGTTGAATTTGTGTACACAGTAAAAAAGAAAGAAAAAAAAGAAACATCTTTGTAAAACCAATACATTTTTCGCTACACTCAGAATCTAAAATATGTAATATATATTATACACTTCATGTTCCATCACCGATGGTGATTCACCATGAATATACGTTTATCTCGGTATTATAATATGCATAGATCTTTAAGATAATTGTAGATTAAAATAATTAATTAAGATTGATAAATTATAAATTGTTATTATTTTAAAGATATATTATCATAATTAGTAATTAATAATGAAAATATGATCAATATAAATGTTGTATAACTGTTAAGTTAATCAAATTTTATCGCCATAACAGTTTTAATTTTCTAAAAAATCAGGGAAACCACAAAAAAAAATAGAAATGCCAGTAAAACAAAATTACAGGGTGATTCACTAAGCGTGCTCACTCCATTTTTTTGGTTACATTTTGCAGATATTCAAATTTGATTTTTGGAATTTTAAGTGTAGTTAAAGCCGATATTTTCGAATACTTAGATTCAACACAACATTCAAGGAGATTTTATCCTGTGGTGATACCAACTTTGGTTTTTCGAATGAGAACCTATATTAAAAATTCCATAAACAGACTCTAAATAAATGTTGTTGTCGAAATTGTTGATTTCCGTCTACCCGTTAACGAGATATTCCACTTTTGAGTTTGGGTAGCGGGGAGTAGTGGACCACTAATAAAACGCCGCGCGTGAAAGGTCCCAATTCGGCCTCTGTGGCTCGTAGCGGTTGACTTTCGTAGCAACTGTAGCAACCCGCATGCAGCCACGTCGTTGTGACGACGGTTTCCGATCTCTGACCAAATATAAAGTTGCGATAAAAGCACCTAACTCGGTTCACCCTAGACATGCTCCAAGACGAATTTGAAAATACGACACTGGTGATGTTAAACAGTGTTAAATTTGTTTTCCGGACAACCAGATCTGCGATTATCAAAGATGATAATATTTATCGTATAAAGAATCTATATTTCAAACATTTCGAACGCTGAAGTAATTGCTGTACGTATTGATTTCTAATTATTACACATTTTATAATTCTGGGTTGTACACATTGGATTTCGTATCGCGCATGAAAAATAGAACCTGATTGATGTTACTTGCTAGGTATAGGTATGCAGGCAAGTCTAATAAGCGTATAAGTTGATAGTATTTTTTGACCGTTTTGTTTTGTTCCGTCGTTACTGTCTGGTCAAAAAATACATATCTATTTGTTACGTGGATAGTAAGTTGCTAAATCCGATCGCTACTATTTATAGTGCACAAATGTCTGCTTACCTACATAATACGCGATTTACCCAGACTGTCGTGCCGTGAGCAGGGAAGATAAAAGTTGGGGAATTTAGGATCCCGGCATGCGTACTAGGAAACAATCCGGGGGCCGGGGCGCCCCAGAGCGGCTTCTCATTGGTTCATTTCAAATTTCGCGTGGTTTTAATTTCGTTTATGTCATGGACGAAATCTCGGGGATGCGAAGAGTGCACTTGCGCCCTCTTGAATTTTTGTGGGGTGCAATACTATCATTTTGTTCTCTCACTAATCAAAAATAAACTCTTATTTTTTTTTTTTTTTTTATAGAAAACCGCGTTGGGTAGTATTTTATTTCGTATGCAGTTTTTCAATATGCGGCCGGGTAGGCTTTCCGAAAACGTCTCTTACCATTTTTCGTACAAGTGATATACACCGCTTATAAATGGGGATTGTGAACCAAAATATAGATTAATGGCGATACTACGTGAATACGTAATCGCGAAAATTGTTGCTATGCTATCAATAATCATTAGGGAACAGATTCATATGCACTTATAAACAACAAAAATGCGCTTAACTCCTTAAAAAAGAACTTCAAAATATTTAAACAAATAAAAGTGGTAGAGTTGTTTAGTCCCACCTTTAATGGTTCTACTTTGGTGGACTTTTATACCCCTCTATTTTTAAGTTACTTCTTAGGCCTTTTTGACGTTTTTCAGCTCTTTTTATAGGTCCTAAGTGCATATAAATCCGTTCCCTAATGATCATATACGAGTATAGTCTTTGTGAGCCGTTTTACTTACGAGCGTTTATATTAATATTTATTATCAAATACACTTCTTCTGGATTTTTTTTTTTTTTATCTATTAGTTACTTCATTACTTAAGTGCGTAAATGCCAGTTTTGAACCACCTGAATTTTAGCGAAATTACGCCTGTGGTCCGTGTTTTTTTTTCGCGGACAATTACTGATAACAACTTGTTGCACTCGCTCGGATTGAAAAAAAACCACATTTAGATTCGTTGTGCAAAACCATGTCGGGAAGGTAACGAATGCATTTTCAGTGCTCTTAGAAGCCCGTCGGCGCGGCGTAACGAAGCCCGTGCGACAAATCGAAAGAAATGAAAATCGAAATTTGAAATTTACCAATGAGAACGCAGTGTACCCATGTTGAAGCCGCTTTGTGGCGTCCTGAGTTAGGTGCGCTGCGCGGGACACCCATATTCTGACCACGTGTACTTTGAGCAGATGTCGTCCAAGGTGATCAAACAGACGTTGGACAAGAAATACGGACCGCATTGGAATGTGGTCGTAGGCGAAGCGTTCGGCGTGCAGATGACGCACCAAATAAACATGTGCGTTCACATATATTTCGGGGGCAATCTCGCGATATGCGCCTGGAAAGTTTGAACCGTAATAAAACTTTCGTTGTATACGTATCCATTATGTTTCGTTATAAATAAAAACAAATAAATTATAGTATCCAGAAATTATTTACATTGGAGTTGCCGTCTGTTCGCTTTTAATAATAATTCACCAAAATGCCCACTCAACCGAAATAAACAGCAATAGGGTGGTCGACTTGCAATAGCGATAAGGCGCTACTCGGCGTTCGCACGCGCGTGTTGTTCGTTGACGTTCGTTGAATTTCGATTTTTCCGAATTTCGAAGCACCGGCGACGGCGCACGAGCGGCCCGAATCGAAAATTAGCAGGCGAAAATCGGTTTTCGAAAACGCGACAAATGTAATGTTTGATACCGGACAGTATATTGCGATCGGTTAGGTGTACCTAATTAACCGACAATTCATAAATATACCGGGACGCTTTTTTATCATAATCAAATCAGTCTGCGACGAGCCCACAGAAACGATGATAAATCGCTTACGCCGCGCTATTCTGTCTTTCGCGTTTAGTCATTTGTGCCCCTGCAGCGAACGCGTTTCAAACGGGTTCGGTTCCGGATTGAAATTTTTTCAAATCCGGCGTGGTTGTAATATTCGTATGTTCCAGACCCGGAACGTTTCTTTGTTTCTCGTTCGGGGCTTACAATTCCCAGTTTGCTTTCATCGTTCGTGTTCTAATCGCGATCTATTTTGCCACGGTCATTACAAGGATGGTCGGATTAACACGGTTCAAATGGAACTTTTGCCCCGGGCCGGGAAATCTGTAGGAGCGACAGTGGCCAATAAGTATGCCTACAAGTGTCGGTGTTCAAAAAACACTCGTTTAGTTAAAAATTTTTTTTCATTGTTTTAATTGCGGTAATTACAATTGGCAAACACATAACTCTGTGACAATAAATAAAATATGCTTTTATGAGTAATATTATTGATATTATATCGCCGTGATTATAGCGGTGTTAATTCCTATGCACGTAGAATTTTCGGAAAATAGCCCTGTAAATTGACGATTCTTGCAATTTCGTCGAATCGATTTGCTGTGCCAACGACGTCCATTAGTATCGCCGTGTCTTTGTTCGGTAGGTACTCAGTCGGTCTCGGTTATCAGTGATCAGTGTCAGTGTTCAACAGTTGATAATAATGAATCGTTTTCTTTGAGCACTAAACCAATTAAATAAAGCGGTTATAAATTATACGGTAAAAAGGCGACGGAAAAAAAAAATTACAAAGATGATGGTAATCATTGAACAACGTTAAAAATTAGTTGTTTTTTTTTTTCATAAAAGATTTAAGGTTTTCTTTTGTTATTGAGCTGTGTTACTGTTAAGTACCGGAAAATCTCAGATTTGTCAACACTGTGCATCGAGCCTGAAATATTTAATGTGGGAAGATATGGACTTGTTCATAAATTTGATACAGGTAATGAAATCAAGGAAAACAACTTTTTTTTAGATATATAGACTTCTAAGCTTCTTATTTGGATTAAATTGTATTCGCTTATAATTAGGGAGCAGATTTTTATGTAATAAAAATACAAAAATATGTGCATAAATATGGAATTATAATTTATAAAATATGTACTAAAAACATCAAAATATGAAGGGAAAAAAATGTTTGGTTTTAATTTTTCTATCGCTAATTCGACAATTTTGCATACTATCATTTTGGACATATTTCTTTTGCAAGGCACTTAACGATTAAAAATATAAATCAACAATATACGACAATATTCTGATAAATTGCTGTTTTCGTTCACTGCAACATGGCTTGAAAACGTATGAATGATGAAATGATAAAATTTCCTTAACAATATTTATAATTTAGTGAAATAAGTAAAATAAAATTGATATCATTTTAATAAGAATGATTTAAATCGTGAACATTTCTTATCGAATCTTAAATATATTGTTCTGATAAAAATATGTTGTAACATAAAAATCCGTTCCCCACTTATAACTATTATAGTATATATAATATGTGTGTATGCATTTTATGTTGCTTATTATTAATATTCAAAAAAAAAAACTGTTGATTATAAAATAATACAGAGTGATTCATTAAGTGTGCTCACCCTTATTTTTGGTTTAATCTTGCAAGTGTTTAAATTCTGATTTTTAGAATTTTTAAGTGTCATTAAAGCCGATATTTTCGAATACTTTTCATAACATTTTGGTTTTTCAAATGAGAACCTATATTAAAAATATCATAAATGGATGTTATTATAAATACGTTTTGGTGTTAAAATTTTTGAACCCTGCAATTCTGTTGCTGAAACATTTAACTTTAATTTTAGGTAGGAGGAGAGTAGTAGAACACTTATAAAACGCCGCTTGCCATGCCGTCACACAAATATTATATTCTACTACTCACCTACATATCTTAGTTTGTATATGGTTTACAGAATATTTTTGAAATTCTTAAAGTACTTATATTTCGGCACCTATCTGTTTTATAATAGACCAGTAAATTTATTTTTAAATAATGATTAAAATTATAATAATTTTCAAATATTGTTTTGAACATATAACATATATTAAATGTATATCAATATTATTGATAAACAACCAAAGAAAAATATAATTTATAGTTTTTAACATGTAACTAAAAACATGTTCAGGTAAAATAATTAATTTTTCAAGGGCTAAATTCTACAACACAACACATCGTAATAATATATATTACAATATACAATCAACTAATATTTATAAAATTCAAGTTTTAACATTTAAATTGTATAAAGTAGTACAATTGTTAAAATTACTCAATTAATTATAGATAACACTTGAGTAATCGACATATTGGTGTTAATTACCTATATAATATTATGTTAAAGTCAATGCGATTTAAAATAACAAATACAAAAAAAAAAAAAATAATAATAATATAACAATTTAAAAAATATAAATATATGCATATAGTAAATTAATGAGTCACCAAAATATATAACCAATATTGGTTCAGTAATGTAAAAATAAATAAATAACAATAGTTTTAATTTTTTTAAAAAACAAACTAAAGCTAAATATAAATATACGTTCCAAACTCACAAATGGACCTGAACAAATTTAAAACCATTATAAGCTATTGAATTATTAAAAAAGTATAACATGTAAATTTAATAAATACCAATACATAATATTATTACTTATAGAAAAGTTGATAAAATTCAATTTAAACTTTACATGCCATGAATACATTGAATTTCACACTTGTACCCTAATTATCTGTAAAAATGTTTATTTGATCATTTAAAAAATAGCTTGTTATAATAAATAAATAAATCACCTTTTTCGTATACAATTCAGAATTTTTATTTTGAAATACAATATTATATAAATCACAAAAACAATACAATAATCATCAGAGTAACACAAATAACTTTTGTTCGATGTGATATTAATTATTATCAGTAAACTAAAACTACAATTATTTTTATAAGCAAATTTACATAAAATGTTTAACAACCACACGTTTTAAAAGCTAAAGTCATCAAAAATGCAACAGTCAAATTTTGTTTATTCATTGGAGAAAAATTTAACCAAACAAAATATAATGCACTCACATTAATTTACTTGTGAATTAGAAAAACATCCAAATAATACACTATTCAAAATATGATTACGTTTATATTCAGAATATTTGATGAATTAATGTTTTTATAACATATGCCTTCATATATTTTTATTTTTTTTTTTTATATTGGTTTTTATTTTAGATAATGTAGAGAAATAATTTTAATGTTTTTTTTGAAATAACTGCTACCTACATACTAAGCAAATTTATGCATTAAAAATTTGATTGAATAAGAGCAAAATAACTACTTATCAAATTATTTATTATCATATGATGATTTCATATTTGATTCAGACATATAGGTAATATAATACATGACTAGCTTGTTAAAATTAGGACAAAATACTACACCCTTGGAGCAAAATTTAATTTATCGCAGAGTCTTTTTGATATTTTATACTGTTTATAGTATTTGAGATTTACAAACATATTATTAATTGTAATAAATGGTAATGAATTTAAAATATAAATATAGTACCAATAAATATAATGTATGTAAAAATAAATGATGTAAAAAATCTTCATTGTTAAAATTTCAGTTAAATTATCTCAAGGAATTAAATATCTTCCATTTAAAAATTTGACAACAATGCACTTAAAGTGGTAAATAATTTCATTTGGTATAATATTATGGAAGGGAAAAATTGTACAACAATAATTAATATGATAGTGCATTATTTAGATGGATTAATATTTATTTTGGCACTTTACTGGAATAAAAAAAAATCAGGGCACCTGAAAAGTCCCTTGGTAATAACATCATACAGCACAGAAAATTGGAATGTACCGGTTTGAATAAAAGTTTAGTTAACTAGAAAATAATTAAAATGGACATGCTTTTGAAATTTATCAATCAACTGAATATAATACTATTATTCAGTTGATTTCTGGAGAATCCCATCTTAGGTGCACTTGAGGTGTTAGATTTACGATTTCAACATGTACAGCTTGAAACTTTTCTAGTTTTGGTGGAATAGGGCATAGACGATAGCGCACTTGATCGCCTGGTAGCGGAACAAATTCTCCTTCGATACTATAAAGTAACAGAGCATCAATTAGACAATTAAAAAAAAAAACATTACAAAATAATAATTAATTACTCACTCTGAAATGTGCACAAACGTGTCTGGATCACCGTTGTCTGGAGTGATGAAACCATGGCCCTTGGATTTGCAAAAGTATTTTACTTTTCCTGTTGTTTGCGGATTCTTGAGAGCCAGAGCTGATCTGAAGATAAAAAAAACATTCATAAAAACAATGTATAAATAAATATAATAAACGACTGAATTGAATATTAATACCGAATAGAAATATATTATGGTAGGACCGTTAAAAAAAAAAAAAAAAAAACATGCAACTATTTTATATTTCACAGTTTTAAATGATTGAACATTTAATTTTTTCATATCAAAGAAAACATTTTCAAACTACTCATACAATTATAATTGACGTTATTAAATCATTACACTTTTGGTTATTGGTATTGGGTATTAGTTATACATAATATAATAGGTAACTGATCACTACAAAATTAATTTTTTTAATAACAATAATAACCGAAAGTTAATAAAACTAATTAGGTTTGTAAGAATGCAGCAATTTTTGCTATACCTACGTTTTTAGTTCAATTTATAATTACATATTAAACCTATCAATTGTCATGATTACAGACTAATTAATGAATAATAATATTTCTATACTTTTTTTTGATTTAAAACAAAACAAGAGCACCTTTTAATCTAAATATAGTGTTTTTTTCCTGTCTGTAAACATTTTAACGACCGAAAGTCTTAATCTAATCAAATTAAAAGGTGGTGTCTGATAACAAATGGTATTTAGTTGGAGCATTGAGGAAGTAAATGTTATTTTCCAAGAACAGTGGGCCCACAGTGGGGTAAAAATGGGAATATTTCCGCAATAACAGTTCATTTCGATTTTGTCATAATTCAGTGTAAAATAATTGTAGAAACGTGCAATTTTTACCGAATATCAAAATTAGCACTCTACTGTGTCCAATAATTTGTAATCCATGGTTATCATACTAAACGAAATCGAATAGTTTAAAAAAAAAAAAAAAATGTCTACAGAGAAAAAATAAAAAAAAAACAACAAAATATATAGTTGTAAATCCAATGGGTCCATTTATCCCTTTGTTCGAAGTCCACAATATACACGTGAAATGCGTTAAATTTATAATTTAAATATAAATTTTGTTCAAATACTAAATATAAATAACTGCGGACGTTCGATTTGTTATCATCAACCCCGGTTTTTCTTTACGGGTTGTCGATTAGACAATAACAATGGACGTGAACAATGCACAGAGTACGAACAGAATCGCGAAACGGTGTTCAAATGTTCGGTAATGACGGAACTCTTTGGTAATTTTGCACGAAATATTAGTAACCGTTGGGAAAAATCAAGATAACCTGGAATCTGGTTTGTACGATGGAAAATCAGCGATTCGCACTCTTGATAATATACTTACGTGGAATCAGTTCTCGTTCGTCTTGTCACTATCGGACTGGGCGCGAGCATGCTGTTCTTGGTCGGCGACAAATGTTGTGAGAATCTCGCGGACGCGTCCGGTTCGCCGTTGGTGTGCGACTCGCCGCTCATGGTTCCGGTCGATAGATACTGATTGTCGTAGTTTATATATATATATAACAATCGAATAATGATAATTATTACCTGTAACAGCGACCAACGAAAGCGAAATCGGCTGCAAGCGCAAGTTTCCGCGTACCTACTCGGCGCACACGGGATCCCGGGTATATTGCGAATTTGATTACAATCTGAGTACGGACTGGCGCGATATTAGAATTTACGATATTTACAACGACACGATTGTTATGTTGTTATTATTTTACGGAAACGTTTGTTTGATAAGAAGTGCACGATAAGATGGTGGACTTCAGGTGCGCCAACGATGACGAAAAAAAAATTAAAAATTCATTGTTATCACGTTATTGGCACGGACTAATGATAGATTATATCTTAGTTCGTGGTTATTGGTTATACCCGTGATAGTACTATCTACGGCCGGCGTCGCGTGCAGGGCGTGTTTATCGCCTCGGTGACGTGCGCGTCGAGCATACTCTACGGACGTGCGCGAGTAATATTTTATGCGTTGTGCGCGTCGCCTTCAGCTGCGGCTCCGCGATTATGCTGTGCCGAACGTTTTTGGCGTTGACCGGTTATTTTCAAACGCGCGTTTCGTCCGTATTACCAATGATTGGATAGCTCCGTTAGTTGATTCAATATTTCCGCCGTCGTTTCATCCCATAACGTACCCACATAACGTATAACGTATTTACCCATGTCATCGTACACATTTGATTAGTTTGATTAATCGTGTGTCTATAGACATTGTACTCGAAGAACTCGATCGTTGTTCAGAAATATTATTTCTCTTTAGGACCTACGTTTTTTTTTTCTAGACAACAAACACTCATTATTCCGATAGTAGAAACTTTAGTAAACGGGATGTTTAAAATCCGAGTAAATAGCCCGCAGACTTCCTGTATTAGGCAGGTGCCTACTAACTTTAAACCGAAACTCCCGAAAATGTTTTCAATATCATAAATGTACGGTATAAATAATAAATTGTCCAAATCATCGAAAATATGGCGATGTTTTCTTTTTGGATTACGGAAAACGTTCATAGGAAATTCAGTTTAAAAATTTTGTTTCGTTTCTTTTATTTTATACAAGATCACATGCAGTTTTTATTTTCCTCAAACAATAATAAATACGAAATAATTTATTTTACACGATCTGATTGATAATAAATAGCTGAACGCGTGTTATAAATACTCAGTCCAAAATATTTTTATTTTAAGCAGCGTTTGGCAAGCGGATTGATCAACAGTATTTTCTAAATGAATGTTTTCATTTCTAAGAATATTTAAAAATGATAAGCCAGTTAACATCTGCTCAAATTTTTTTCACTACAAAGTACGATTTTTAATGAGCCTCGTGTTAAATTCTCATGTATTTCTGTTTGGTCTAACAATTTTACCTACCGGATAAAAATTATGTACAAAATTCGTAAAATTAAAATGTTTATACATTGCTCAAAAATTTTACCACGTAAATAAAAGGCAAATATAAGTTTTCTGTCCAAATTTCAAGTCTCTACGAATATTTTTAACTGAATTACCACAAAAAATCAAAATTAAAAATATAAGCATATTTTCGTAAATTTTCCGTTTTTCTTACGTTTTTTCCTGCGTTTTCCTGATAATATGAAAACTGCTTGAAAAATTAAAAAATGACCTACCTTTAGTACCATCTAGTCAATATTACAATATTTTCTTTCAAAAAAGGTGCATTTACATATTGAAGCAAGATTTCTGGTAGAAATTTTTATCATAGTATAAAAAAAAAACATTGTAAATCCAATAGGCACATTCTTCGTTAATATCAGAATTTAAAACTCAAATTAAATGAATCATTTTCAATTTTGATTTGAAAAATATATTATTTTATTATATATTTGCAAATTAATTGTTTCCACTTAGTTTTCCATAATTCTATCTCACCCTTGAGAGAATATTTATTGAAATTTATAATTGAGAAGTGTTTCATTCTTGTTTCAATCAAAGTATTTCCAAGATCCGGAATCATCTTTATGGCATTTGGAACCAGTTGCATTTGTACTTAAGAATTATGGATATTTTATGCAATAAAAAAGAACATCACACACCTTTTTAGGAGGGAGCTATTGCCTCCCTCGCCCCCTCTCAGGGACGAGCCTGATACAGAGGGACAAACATATCATTTCGCCTCCCTCCAATAAAATGTAAATAAAACTTTATGTTTATGAATAACGAAAACAAATTTTTAAATTTTAAATAAATATTATTTCTATATTTTATAACATGACTGATATGTAATGGTTTACAAAAAAAAACCAGTCGCAATTCATTGTGACAATATTATCACAGTAAATTACACAAATTACGTGTAATTTGATATGCAATAATCTATGGACACACTATATCTACAGAAATTTAATACAATTTCTATTTTTTACTTTTAATTTATGTTTGTTTCCGATGATGTGTTTAAGTCAGGGCTCTAAATGAATGGCAATGCAATAATTCACCTAACCTAACCTAACCGGAATTATTCCGGTTCACATTTTTATAAAGAAAAAAAGTGTTTTTATAGCTGTCCATCTATCATATAAACGTACTATACAATATATTAATATATTTTATTATATGCATTTAAAAAGAAAAAAATCACGTGTTACGATTCAGTACATTTTTTATTTCGATCACGGGTAAAAAAAAACACAAACACGGAGATAAACTCATCGTCTCTTCCTCTACGTATGAAAGAATACGTATCGTAGGAGAAATACTGTTTTCAGGCAATACAGATGGTATTACTATAGATAGTTAGCCACCTCCAAAATATAAAATAATAAATGCACTAAATTTAATATTTCTGAAACCATTGTTCACTTTGTGTGAAAAAATAGGGAAATGCGTTTCCCTGAAACAATATTTATAATAAAAGTATATTCCGATTATCAAGTATAGCACCTTTTTTTGAAAGGAAATTTTCTCCGAGTGATACTTTAGAGATATAATTTTTTTATATTCTCATTAATGTTCGAGATATAGAGGAAAACCTCGGTCTTTATGTTAAAAAAAGATGGAAAGATTAAAAATAAGGTTGTCATTGGCAACTATTTATTTTTTGTTATAATTAAGTATTTATTATTTTATTATTTTTTAAACAATCTTTGTTGTCATGGAAACGCACATTGTTTCAATCATTTTACCATAATATGACATTATATTGTAGTGTTGACAAAGCAACATTAGGTATCAACTGAACTTCGCTCAGAATCGTTTTTTCGTTATTAATGGTTTATCGTTGCGTAATGCATATCTATAGGCAACGGCCTATAGATATGCATTGAATTCCCGTCTGTAGCCTATCTTCCAGACTTTCCACCTACAACAGTGATTGCAACGTGCGAAATACGTCCGTCCTTTTTTTTTTTTTTATTATTATTACATCCGTGCTGCAGTAATTAATGTGTTTTATAATGTGTTAAACAGTGGGTAAAAAATGCATTTGGTGCAATTTCTTTTACTCCGTCTTATAATTTAAATAAATATCCAACCATAGCACTAATACCAACAATCATCACAGTATTGGCTAACCAATTTATTTTCAACATACCGAACTCTTGTGATGTATAAGTGATTAAATTAAATACTCCTTCGGCTGTACGGTCTTCGCTGACATATAAAACCCAAAATTATTAAATAACCCAAACCTATGTTGTATTGTTGTATAATTATAATAATATAGTAACCGTGTACTATAAGTAAAACGTATACATTATAAGGTGATACCTACTTAAACCCGCACCTACATCGTAATGTATCAATTACCTGGATATGTATTGAATAGTTAATTACGAACACTGTATGCATCATAATACAAATGCGAGTGAAAAAACAACTATCATTTATTAGGTACCTACTTCGATAAATACTTACGACTCTGTATAATATAGCTATCAGTGAACATATTACCCTTTGTTCGAATACCTATATAATAATACTTATGTCAAACACGAATAAAGTGTGAGCGATAATAACCGTCTGAATGGATTTATAGACTACAGACATGTTTTAATGTTTTATAGTAGTACCACACTATAGATAATTATTTATAATGCAACGCGAATAACGATGAAGGTTATATTGATAAACAGAGATATTCATTAGGTACTATTACCATTTTTTTACTGTTGAAATATGATAGGTTATTAATTATTAATTGTCCAAACACATCAAACGCAAAAGGCAAAACAAAAATCGGAACACAATATAATATTATGTATTGTATACATTACTGGTTAGTGAAAAAAATACCGATTTAATTGAGCTGGTAAAATAATCGAAACAGGTACCTATTCCATTATTACAGTTATCTAACATCGACACTATACATTTCGATTATCTGCAACATAGTCGCATTATTCCTCCATCCCGAAGGTTAAAATAATGAAATGCAATTATTAATTTCGTTTCAAAATCAGAAAAATATAATAATCCAGGGATCGTTTATTTTTTCAGTGGCGGATTTATGGGGGAAAGGACACCCGAAAAAAACGATTCTGAGAAGAGTTTAATTGATAGTGTTACTTTTCCAACAATATATAATATGTCATATTATGGTAAAACAATTACACATGCATTAAACATTTACTTTAATAAAATTTGTTTAAAATTATACCTATTTTCCCGTTCTTCCGTTTTTCCATCATTTTTTCTGGTTTTTCCAATATAATGAGTCAACTACCGGGAAAATCAAAAATGACCTCCCTAAAGTACCTTCTAGAAAGGATTTTCTTTCAGAAAAAGTGTTACACTTTTAAATCGGAGCAATATTTCTGGTAGAAAAGTTGTTTACGGACAAAAATAAAACACACTTATCATATACGAGTAGTATAAAATCTAAACAAATAATTTATGTATGATTTATCTATTCAATAATACATAATATTAGATACAAGATTTATTTAAAAAAATTCTAGACATGGTAGAGTTTCCAATTAATTCAGGCGTTTTTTGAGTGATTTATAGTCTGTGTTTGAGATTTTTGTTTGTTTTGTTTAGTTTTAATATTATTTTATGTAGAACAATTTATCGGCTACTCAAAAACGTTTGAAAATTTGATGCAACTTCTATCATTAGTTGTTCTCATGGTACTATACATATTTCGAAAAACTGTGGATAAATTTTTTTAAATATAAGCCCTTAAAGTTCAAATTTTGATAAACATCGTAAAAATCGTAACAGTTCACGTGCATACTATTTTCCTATTTGTTTATTTATAAAATAAAAATGTTTTGGTTTCATAAAATTAAAGACAAAAATCATGGAAAATTGTGATAAATATAATTTATTTTGTATTTAAAAATTAATCAATTTTTTAATTTAAGTTTATCATAACATATTTAACTGAAAATTGTTCAAAATTGTTTTTCGTTAGTATTGGTTTATCGTCGAGTAGAAGTATAACATAAAAGATCGGTTTAAGTATTCATTTAAAGTCAGCATTTAATCATTGTCTGACTACCTATACGATTATACTTTCACAATTTTGGACTCTCTGTTATATCGAATACAGTACTTAAATTCAAAATAGTGTACAGGATGTCCCATGAAAATTTGATAAATTCAATAACTTTTGTTTTAATAATTGTTTTCACAAAATCCATTCATCATAATAAATGTTGTTAACGTCAACATTTTGTTTCAAAATATATATTTATAAAATAGCTATTATGGATTTAATAAAAATAGTTTTTTAAAAATTAAAATGCTTATTTTTTAAAAATCATACAAATATTAAATAAAGAAATTTAGTTTTTAAATATTGAACAGAACAAAAGTTATTTCATTTGTCGAATCTTTGTAGGGCTTTATGTACAGCGAGTATATTGTAGTGCACTGTATATACGGAGTGATAAATTCTCGATAAGACACTTATTATCTTGGAAAGTATGCAATTTTTTTTTTTGAAACAAGTAACTCTAAAAGATTACAGTTTTTTTTACGTTATTTTTTGATCAAAAAATCACTATTCACGTTGGATTATCAAATAGCAACCTATACAGGGTGACCAACGAAGATATATGCATTGTAATGTCTCCCTCCGGAGATAATAAAGGCAGACAAATTTCATTTTTCTTTTTTTTATTACTCACAAGGATAAGGACTACAAATATTTGTATTGCAATTCATTTTTTATGTTTTGGAAAAATATTTTATTATTTTTGAACAATTTGAAAGTAACTATTTTATAGAGTTTGTTTTTCTGAACATTTTGATGTATCAACTTTTTATTTTTTTTATTTTCTTGAATTTTAATAATTTTAGTAAAGTTAATATTTCCGGAGATAATGAGTGTCTTATCGAGAATATTCGGGCTCTCTGGGCTGTGTAAGTAATCCAATCGTAACAATAACTCTCTTTAAACTCGCGTAAGTGTGAAATCTGTAACAATATGTGATATGCAATACAAATATAGGTAATATTTTAATCACGTCTACAAACAAACGGTAAGTACTAAACAATTGAAACAGTACCTACCCATAGATGGTACATAATAGGTAGGGATTAAACAGTCTGTGCCCTTTGGTCGTAGAAATAACTAGAGTTTATTTCTGCTTATTGTTGCGGCGAGAAATAAAGGTTAAACCACAAAGTTTAAATCTTCGCGTTATATTACAGATTAAATAATAGATTTTAAAATTATGTGTATACCCAAACAACTTAAATGGTAATAATGAAATACAGTTTGAATTATAATATAATACGCGTGCAATAATGATATTTTTAAATAATTTTTTTTTTCTCCTTGACTGAAAACAAAAAAAGTCAACCATGCTTCTCACCATTGGTAGGTCACTGTTGTAGGTGGGAAATAGAAAATGTATACGATAAAGGAGAATTTCATTTATATACTTAGAATAACGATAAATGATAGCAGTTAAAAAACAATTTTGCGTGGAGCTAATAAACTTCTGAGAAAAAAATATTCCGGGTATGCAGTATGCATTGTTTAGAAGTACCATTATAGTACCATAAAAATCGTCGTATTTTAAAATAACTGGAAAAAAGTGGTTCCAAAAGGAAAAATAAACACTAAAACACAAGACTCACTTTTTGATAAAATAAGTATTTCATGGAGAATTTGATTGTTGCATGAAATTTGGAAGATCATGTTTACTTGTTTTTAATGATTTGATTTGACATTAATTTATTCCAATAATAAAAACCTATAAGTCTCCAGGTGACTCGAGCCTTAAAGCACATAAACTATAAAGTATATGTATAACCTGTAATATTATATGGTACCAATCGATAATTTTGCACTATTAAGTTTAATAAATAGCGTTAATAAAATTTGAAAATTATTGTTTAATAAGAGGTAATAAGAGCAAGGGCGGGTCCGGAGAGGGCAAGCCTTCCCCCGTTAGTAAAAAAAAAACTAAAACAATTATATTTGTATTTGTTTACTGTATATATTTATACATTATAATGACGGACTAAATGAAAATATTTTGATAGGTAACGTATATAATTTGACAATAATATCTATAGAATGAATTTTAGATTCTGAGTGTAGCGAAAAATGTATTGGTTTACTAAGGTGTTTATTATTTTTTTTAATTATTTTATCCTGTGTACAACAATTCTAACAAAAATCTTGTTCAGATATATGTGTGCAACACCATTTCTAAAAGGGAATATTTTCCAGATGGTACTTTAGGAGATCATTTTTTGATTTTCCAAGAGGTTTTCATAAAATCTGGGAAAAACCAAAATAAAGCGTAAAAATAACTGGAAATTTACAAAAATGATGCTTTTATTATTTTTTAATTTTGTTTATTTGTTATAATTCAGTTAAAAATATTCGTAGAAACTTGAAATTTAAAAAGAAAAATCATATTCACCATTTCTAGACGTGGTAAAATTTTCAAAAAATTTAAGCTATTTTTAAATTATTTAAAGACATTTTAATTTTGAGAGTTTTGTAAATTTTATTCGGTAGTTACACTGTGGTAAAATTGTTAGACTTGAGCAGAAATGCTTCAAAATTGAACAGAAGGTTTATTAAAAGTCTTACTTTGTAATCAAAAAAAAAAAAAAATTGAGTTTAAGGTAGTATTTTTTTTATGAGAATTCTTACATCAAATTTTGACTAAAAAATGACGTGAAACAAATTTAATTTTTCAATTTTTATTTTTAAACATACGTATATTGCGGATTTAAGAACGGTGATGAAGTCAGAATTAAGCGGACTGATTAAGTTTTGAAATTATAACTATTTGAAGTTCTAAAATTATTCGAAATTTATATGTTATGTTAAATAACTATATTATACTTTTCAAAGTATATTTGTCAGGCAAACTTTAACACAAAAAATCTTGCTCCGGTGTATCAAGTGTAGCTTATTTTATAAAAGGAAATTTATCTACATGGTAATTTAAAGAGGTCATTTTTTAATTTTTCATGTGGATTTCATAACATCTGGGAAAAACCGGGATAAAATGTCGGAAAAATGGAAAATCTACAAAATGTAATTATTAGTAAAAAAATATGGCCTTTTTCTTTTGTGTACAACTTTTCTACTAACAATTTCGCTTCAATTTAAAATGATAGCACTTTTTTTGAAAAGAAATCTGACTGGGAAGGTAATTTAGGAAGGTAATTTTTCGATCTTCCCAAAAATTTTCCCAGTAAATGTGAAAATCTGGGAAAAACATGGGAAAATCGGTAAATTAAACAAATATTATTAAAGAGAAAAATAATATAATGCCTATTTAATTATTTGTTTCATAATATAACATATATATATATATATATATATATATATTATTGACAAAGCATCACTATCAACTGAACTTCGCTCAGAATCGTTTTTTCTTTAGCAATGATTTATCGTTGCTTACAGATATACATTAAATTGCATATAAAAGTGGCTGCTCCGTCTCCATTATCCTAAAATGTCTTTTTATAATTGTATTGTAGTTATATTTCATTAATTTCGTATGTGTTGTTCCATTAATAATTAAAAATACATTATAGTAGACATTTCTCTAATTTAAGTGCCCTCTCCGTAAACAGATTCTGGATCCGCCTTTGAATGAGAGTCTTCGCGATAACTTTTTAGTAAAAAACAAAATTCTACGAAGTGGGCTATTGACTTTCATTGTCATACTAACCATACTATAATACTTAATATATTATACTATCTTATAGATTATGCATTGAAAACTTATTTCAAGTTAATATGATACACAGAAGTGAGATGATATAATCATACAAGAGGATTATACCTATACTCTTTATTATAATATTACTGTGATTTTTCTTGACACTTTTGTTTTATTTAAATGCGTTAAGAGTACCAATTTGAATTGTTCATCTAGTGCTTCTCCTCACGCTCTACAAATATATTACCTAGTAATTTATAATTGCTTCTCGACGTACGTTGATAGTTTTATATGATTATTAGCGATTGTGAATAATAGTTGATTTAGATATATAGTTAATAATATGAAGGAGTAAATTATCATTGAAGTCTTGATGATACACTGTTACACTAAAGGTAAGTGTAATATACAAACTGCAATTTATTTTACATACATTATAATAGGTAGTTAGGATTTTTGAATTATTAAGATTATTTTGTGTAATTATTTCATATATCTCTATATTATGTTGAATGAACCGTAAAATTCATTACGAGTTCAAATACATTTTGATTTTAAGTTCATTACTATTCAACGTTAAAAACATTAGCTTTTACTTTAAACTTAAATTTTGTTTTTTTTTTGTATTACTCACGGAAAGGGGACTACAAATATTTATACTTGAATTAATTTTTTTTTATTAGAAAAATAAAGAAATACATTTTTATTTTATTATTTTCGGAAAATTTTAATGTACCACACATTTATATCCCAGATGAATAGTTTCTATGTAACAGCCTTTTTAAAATTTTACTAATCCGTGTGAAAACCGATGTTATATCATGTAGATATTCAAGGGGTAAATCCTCGTGGGACAGCCTGTATAATATAATATGTTGTACCTATTCGGTATTCTATTTATCTATAATACCTACAAGATGTATACAATTATTTTGTAATTCTTAACAAAATCAATAATCGTGAGAATTTTTTATACATTCTAAGTGGTGAAATCGTTTTCGGTGTTGGCAATTAATAAATAGGTATGCTTAATATTGTTATGTACCTATCACTATTATATATTAACTTTATTATAACTGTAGATTCTGAGTGAACCAAGAAGTTAATACCTAGTTTTATCGCTTTTTTGGCTTTGTTGGCTCCGATTTTTGTTCACGCAGTACCTTAAAAGTTGTAAGATTAAAGGATTGTTAATTTACATGAAACACTTTTTGAAATTTTAAAAAATAGGTACCTACACAAATAATCACAAAGCTTATGTTGTTTTATCGTTTTAGAATTAAATTTATATTGTTTAAAAAAATATTACCCGGAACTGTAACGAAGTGTTTTTGGTGTAATATTAATAACAATAAACTTTTAATTAAACAATAAAGTATCAATTGGCAATAATTCATATTTTTAGCCTGGGAGTACCACCACTCAATTGGTCATGAGGGCATTGCCTCATGAAATCCCATATCGCGCCGCCATTGCGTATAGTTGTAAATATAATACAGATGTCATAATAATCGATACAAATTAGTACATTCAATAATATAGTGGTTTTGCCGGAACCTACAATCTGAGGTCACTATACCCGGTGTCACTATAAACGGTATCAACTCAATAATTGTATTTTCTATTAAATGATTAAAAAAAAAAAGTTGTTACACAGTAACAACTTATAAGTGGGAATGTTGGATAGTAGTATACAATATAAAGTTATTTATTTTATTACTGTAAGGAACGATAAATCACTGATAACGAAAAAGATTCGGAGCTGAAGTTTGGTTATACATATTTTGAAAGGCAGTAAATTTAAGATTTTTTCAAAATTTGATATTAAAAAAATTGTTTAAACTTTTTTTTGACCTCAAAGTACAAATGTTAATGAACTTACTGTTATATTTTAAAGCATTTTTTCTTGGTCAAATATGTATCCACAGAGTACCTATCAAATACAAATTACGTGAAATCATACAACATAGTAAAACCAATAGATCCCTCGCTACGAATAAGTTCCAAAAATCGTTAAAACCTAAATACAGGTTCGATGTATATGGGATGGTAAAACGCATGTAGTCCCAACTACTTTAGAAAGCTAATTCTGATCGCACATTTTCTTAAAGGTTTTCAAAATGTGGTATATTGGTATTGTAAAATTATTTTAAAAATGAAAAAATTGCCATTGAAATGCATATAAACAGAACATTTGGAAAGTAAATAAATAATTTATAATTATATGTATAATGTATGTGGCTGTAAGGGTGGTCCCACTTATGAAAACAATTGATTCCAGTGAAAGTATGATGTTTTAAATTGGTTTTGAAAGATTGAAAAGTTGTAAATTTTTTACAAACAATGGTACTGGTTTGGAACCGATAGGACAAGGTGGGAGGGCTAACTTCATTGACGTGGACCAACCTTGATTTTTCGCGCGAATTGCATTTTGTTACCATCTGCTTTAACTTTTAAATAAATGCTATTAATCCATTATAGTTATACAATACTATTAACAATATCAATTATAAAATATATTATAGTTACACTGGAATTGGCTGTCGACAAATACCTCGATACGTTTACAATGGATGGTAACAATTTAAACAACCACAAAGAGAACGGTAACAAGGTATCTGCAGTGTCCTATGTTAGGATTTCTACGTCGTTTTATACACTATTTCAGGTAGGTTTAAATAATATTGTATTGATCAAACATGTTGTTCATAATTAATGTGAGTACTTAACTATCTATTTATTTTAATTACAGATAACCGGAATACTGATCGTGTTGTCCGTCTTTTTTTGGCTACACAATTTTCGGAATGGTTTTGGTTTTTCTGAAATAGGAAAAGTATGCAATTGGCATCCGTTGTTAATGACGATCGCTTTTATTTATCTATTTGCTAACTGTAAGGCTTGTTAAAGTTATTAGACTATTAAAGAAATTATTATATTTAAGGCTGATGGACTAAATTTTCCGAGGGGAGGGGAGTAATTTGAGGTTAGGTTATAGAGTACTATAGAGGCAATATTCCATTTCTGAGACATTTCTTCAAAACAAGATGATGATTACACAGTGTTGTCAATTTAAAAAATAATAATATTCTAATTTTTTTAGTACACAATTTATTATATCTTTAATTTGTATTATTATAATATTTTAATTAGTAGTGTAAGATATCCCTGAACAAAAACCACACAACTTTAATATTTATATTATTACTTGATATTCAAAACAAGATTTATGGTAGAAAAACAAAACCGAAAAATATCAAAAACAATTGAACTTTTATAGTTGTAAATTTATCCGTTTTTCTCTTTACGCTTTTTCACAAGGGTAATAAAAAATTACAAGGAAAATAAATAAAGGCCACCTCAATGCACAAACTAATTCCAAAATACTATAAAAAACCGTTTATTGTCATGTTTTGATTGGAGTAAGATTTCTAACAGAAAAAGTGTTAAAGGTACAAGAAAAAAAAAACACATATAATAGTGAAACCACTATACATTCCTCTCTCTACTCAGAAACTAAAAAATAAATAAATATACATTTGCCTAATTTATAATATTGATCTTTTTTGTTGCTTTTTTTTTTTTTTTTTTTAGCGATTCTTCATTTTCGATATTTTCACAACGATGATAAACTACTACTGAAAATACAACATGCAATCATACATTGCATTATAATCATTGTCGCGGCATTTGGAATTTGGGCGGGTTTAAGTTCGAATAAAATTGCTAAACCGCCTGTACCAAAATTTTACAGTCTTCACAGTTGGCTGGGAATCATAACTATAATTTTATTTGTTTCACAAGTAGGTTATCTAATAATTCTTTTTTTCGTTTACTTATTAAATTTTAATTTTTGATTCTTAACAAATTTAACTCATCATATGCAATGTGCATATTATTTATATTTTATAGTTTTCAAGTGGATTTGTGTCTTTCCTGTACCCCGAAATAAACGTTCAGTACAAAAAAGCTCTAATGCCGTATCATAAATCGTTTGGTATATTGACTTTTGTACTATCAGTTGTAACCACTGTGCTGGGATTTAGTGAAAAAATCATTTCCGCCTTGTACGCAAGCAAAATTTAAATATAGTTTATTATCTTTAAATCATTTTTTTTCAAGGTATTTTCAATTTTATTTTTATTTTCTCAAACATATTATAGGAACTGCCAACATAACTGTATGCCGACGGAAGGACTGTTGTTAAACTTTTTAGGGATAATAGTACTCTTTTATAGTATACTAGTCTTGTATTTATTGATAAAACCGGATCACAAAAAATCCTAGACTTTAGAATACGAAGTAATATTTTCAAGGATATGACTAACTATTTTTCATAAGATTTATTTAGTTATATGAATTTTTTTGATGTACCATAAATCATTATTGTTACTTTATTGTTTTAGTTTAGCTTGATAATCATATCAATTTACTATTATTAATTAATAATTAGGTGTGTATATCCGTGGCTAGGGTCAATGTGAAAAAAAAAAGTTTAAGAAAATATATTAAGTCGGAAAAAAAAATATTTCCGAAAATTCCAAAAACCCATTGATATATTTGTCGATTATATAGTATTTATATTCTATTTATTTATTTACTGTAATCTATCTTATGTTATTGAATATTATTAATGTTTTATAATTTATGCAACAAACTTTGTTTAAAAATAAAATCATAATCAAAAATACAACATAAAAGCCTATTACCTACTGGAAATAATTCAATAAACGAATTTGTAATAAACATGCGCTAAAAATATAAAATATGTCGTTAGGTATAATATAACGATTTTGTGATGTATCGTATGGTATAAGAGTTTGAATTTTCGTTCGAAATGTTTAAACGATTAACAACCTACACGGGTATTTTCTACATGGTAAAAAAAAAAAATTATAATTAAAATGTGAATAAAATATTTACGTGGGATATACATGAGAAATATTATCCTGCGGAAAAACGTTAAAATATTACCATTATTATTAGTTTTTTTGGTCAAACAGTCGAGTGTGTTGCAACAAAAGCAGCAAACGCAATCGTCGCATAGATCAATCCGATACCCCTTTTGGTAAATCGTGTGTCAAAACAATAATATTGTTTTTAGTAGTATAATGTGATGTGGGTACGTATTGAGTGTTCGAGTCGCGTTGCTCGGCGACCGTTTTGTTGTATGTGTTGAGCGGAAAAGATTCGTGCTACGGGCAGGCCTATTTCGGAATAATTCTCATATGCATACGAACGCGATATAGCCGTGAATAATTTGCATGTCGTACTCGCATCGAATAATATAATAGCACCGTCATACGGTTTTAGCGTCGTAAAACTTGCAGTCTAGAAGAAAAACGTGGAACAATTCAGTTTCGTTTGCGAACATCAACATTAATAAAATGTCCAATCTCAAACGGGACACGAAACCTAGTAAAAACGTAACGTCGACTGGACTGTCTTTGCAAGGCTCCCAAGTACGTTTGTATGCTATATTATAATAGTTATCGTTCGTTATAATAATTTCACGGGCGACGTTCATTCGATTTTATAATTTGAATTATTCTAAACTAACGAAATCACGTCAGATACTAATTTAATGAAAACAACGGAAATTTGGTACGCTATGACGGTGAATAAACCGAAAAAATGTGATTCAATTTAAATGTTGTATATTGCTGCTAAAAAATAAATATTGTCGCGCATTTTGTATTTGTAAAGCGACCAAAACGATTTTCATTCCTATAATGGTTATCGGTACCCGCTTATCGAATAACTAGTGGTGTTCCCGTAGGTTATATTATATTTTACACCCCGTATTGGTACTCTTAACATTTTGTAGACAAAATCACGGTAATACTGCGTATATTCTCATGTACTTAGTCAAAAAAAAAAAAATAAAAATAAATTGTTAATAATATTTTAATGTCATTGCTCATCCATACCATTGGCTGAAAACGTAATCGTAACGGAAATTGTATCTATTTCAGTAACTATCAATAAAATATTCACAATTAATAAATGTATAAATTATTTATGTATCCATTGGTTACATTACAAGAAACATTTAAGTATATAAATGAAATATTAACATACAATTAAAATTTAAGAGATATAATAAGATACAGTAAGTTAATTAGTAGAGTGAGACGGTTCAGTCCTCACCATTATTACAAGTGGCTTATTAGCAGCATAGCGTATGTTACGAACAGGAAAATAAAACTGATAGTTCTTACGTATGGCCAGAGTAGGGATTCTGAAGTTAATGCGAGAGAGGAGATTTGGGGAGTTGATTTTACCCGAGAGTAAATTATTATGAAAATTTAAAATCGCTTATGCTTTCTTATTAGCCAACAAGGATAATTGCAGAGAAAAACGACTGGAGAATAATCATAATCACAATTATTTCTTTACGATTTACGGTACTTTTTTTTTTCGTTAACTTTGAGCGTTTTATGTTGGTAATTCGCGAAATGGTATAAAGAAATCGTAATCGAATAAAATGATATAATTATTTTTTTCCAAAAGTGGAAAAAGGGGTTAAGAGGGTGAATATTGAAAATCTGATTATTAATACTATCATCCAAAATTATGCATACAAAAATCGATCACAATGGTTTAGGGCTTTACATGGAATTTCATATAAACATTATAAACATGATAAAAACCTACATTGTTTTACGGAGCTATACAGGATTATTTACAGTAAACGTGTATTTTTTTTATTATAATTAATATGCATATCTAGGTATATTTGTTTAGATTAATTTGACAACGCGCCTATCGAACTTTAACATAACAAATCCGCTACATTATTTGTACAATGATAACGTCGAAGCATCGCCGTCTCGGGGCAGGCCGATGTCTGCGACTACGTTGGGCCCTACTTATCAGGTAAAAAATATCATTAAATGCGTATAAACTTTTGTTTTTGTAAAGCCTTCAATAAAGCTGATAATGTAAATTTGTGGTTTTTCAAAACAATTTTTTTAGGAATCACCACGTAGGTTAAGACACGTTAAACGTCCACAATCTGCGGATACTATAAATAAAATTGCAAAAAATCGACATATTACATTTGATTTCAACGAACAACAAAACAATACAGGTAAAAAACAACGGTACTTATTCACAAGTAGAATGGGCAATAGGTACGAAAAATAGATTAGTTTTAACAAAATAATGCACGGTACTACGGTTCTGATCTAATACTTACTTCCTAGGTTTACAATACAATATAATACTATTTTCAAGTATATAATCGATAAACTCACATTTCACAGCTACAATGGTTGATGTCGAATGGGAAGGGGGGGGGGGTTGAGGGGATATATTTCCTCGTGACCTTTTTCCCTTCAATATTTACAGTACCTAGTATTATATTGTCTGATATTAAGCTGTCTACACATAACTATAAGAAGAAGCCGGACATACTTCGTACCATGGATAAGCCACTTTTGTAGTTTCAACTCCTCTTCTTCCGATGACAAAATCGTTTGACCATTACTGCACACCTATAAAGACCAAAAAATATATAATATATATTAAATCAATTGCACATTATTTGGTATTATTATTTCTTTTTTATCTTAAAAATTATGTTTGACGAAAAATATTTACATTATAAATTCCGAGCGTAGCGAGGGAGCTACTGATTTACGAAGTTGTATTTTTTTTTCCTTCTTCTAGTCTGTGGACACGTTTTTTCCTAGTAAATTTGCTCCGACCTTTACATGTAACAAATTTTCTGAAAGTCTAAGTTGTTCAGATGGTATTAAAGAGGTCATTTTTTGATTTTTGACGCTATTTTTTAAATAAAAGCATTAAGTGGAGAAATGTACGATTTTACGGTTTCATTATTTTTTTTATAAAAACACGGACAACGTTTTTTACAAGAAAAAATGATTTAATCGAAAAATCATAAGATATCTTTTTTGATGCCTTTTTGATTTAATTTGAGCTTTTTTTGAGCTTTTAAGACATTTTAATTTTTGGGAGCTTTTTTGCTGTGATTCGATTATAAACACATGTGGAGACTTGAAACTTGCTAATAATATTTATATCGAACTTACCTAGAACGTAGTCAAATTTCCAAAATCGTTAGACTTTTTTTTTAATAAGCGTTATAAAATCAAATTCAAACGAAAATCGCACAAAAAAATTACGGCACTTCAAATTATGTATTATCGAACTGCGCTCGAAATCGTCTTTCATCAGCTTTGGTTTATCTTTGCTTACAGATATAAATGAAATAACCTTATGTATTCTACCTTCCCAACTTCTCACCTACAAAAATGACTACTGCTCCCATTCCCAGTATCAGCTGGTTTTTTTTTTTTGCAATTTTTAATATAATATATAATAATATAGGGATATTTCGTCATGAAATATTTAGACGTGTCATTAAAAACTGTAACTTTATGTATACAAAAAAACGATGTAAATAAACCCGTTTTAAAAAAATGTTTTATTATGTTATATTTTAAAAATGTGTAAATAACCGTAAAATATAATATTTCTTGTTTTACTATATCATGTATTATAATCATAAAAGTAAAATCTAGGGTTATCACGCAACTGAACTCAACTCCAGGCTCGTGTTTTGTAATGTACCCAACAAGGCTTTTTTGTGTTCATCATATTTAATAAACATGCTATGTAGTAATATTATTTTTAAATAGTATGCATGTAACACAACGATTTAACGGTAAAATAATTGTTCATTCGATTCTTCGAAGTAATACTGTAATAGTTTTCTCAAAAACATTTAATATTTATCGTAATTTTAAATTACAACGTAATAATTATTGTTTGTATAACTTAAATAATTGGAAAATATTTTTTAAAAATAATTTATGCACCTATATAGGTTCTAGAAATTACGCAGTACTGGAGAGTACATTTGACGAATTAGATGCGGCAGAACTTTCGTCGGGTGGCCGTTCAACGCCCGTCCAGGACATTCAACAGAATGAAAATGACAAACAACCTACATTGGAACCCGGGCTAAAGTCTAAACCACCTATACCTCCCGCTGGAAACGTGCAACAGGAAACTTTTGACCGACAGTCTAAAACATCAGTGACTTTTGACGACGCAATCGAACTAAAGTTTCAACGATGGTTCCCGAATTCAGCACCTATCGCAGTGCCTACTGACACTGATGTGTCACTAAACGGCATGTCGTACGAATATAGTGAACGAGTGATTGATAACGATAAAGGAACCATCACTTATACAAGAAGCAGTTCGTCGATGAGTATTCGAGGTAGCCAGGACCAATTGGACGAAGAGCATCTTTATTCAAATCTCAGTGCAGCTATCGGCGGTGGGGATAAACTCAAAACATCTGTATCTGTGGATTTACTAGAGATACTCCAGAACGACGATAATCGTCGAGTGTCTTCTGTTAAATTAAAAAAGAAAAAGAAAACTACACCGGTCGCCCACAAAGTAAAAAAGGATGTACCAAAGACAGTTTTTAAATCCAAGCCAGGTATCGTTAAAAGCGATCCGGTTGTCATGAAACGTGAGCCGATTGAAGCAGCGCGGAACGAACAATATTTAGAGAAGGTAATTAAAAAGGATCACCCAAACAAAACTGACGACTCATCGGTGGATTACATCAAAGATGACGTAGTGTCATGGATGTCTTGTCATCAGAGGCCATCAACTCCCGAATTAAATGGTAATTTTGTAAGTGTCTTTGGCATCTAATAATTAATAAAGATTATTTGATATTATAGTTAGGTAGTTATTTTAATATGTGTTGAAAAAAATTAAGTAATAATTAAATGTATTGAATTTGTGTATGTTTAAGGAGACGTTTTGTAAAGAAAACCATAAGACGTCAACGTATGATGAAATCGTAAATATTTTAAAAGAACTGGAATCTGAAAATAACGATATTGATAGTTAGTTAATAAAGTTCACTTAAATATAAACATTTTGTGTTATTATCAAAATCACATTATAATATTTTTATTTTTATTACCACTTAAAATATATTAATTTATAATATTACAATATTATATTTGTTGTGTAATAATATGTACTGATTTCTTGTAGACATGAATGTCAGGAAAACTGGTGTTACAGATAATAATAAAGATCAAACATTAGTACCAGAGCCTTCGTCTAGTTCAAAGTTAATATCACTTGGAAATCAATTAACTTTTTTTTTCACTCCTGAATATTCTTTCTATTTTTTTTTTAAAAACGGATTTTGTATTTTTGTGTTTTAATGGATTTTTAAAGGGCACTATGGTCATTTTTGGATGAAGTAGAGAGAAACTCAAACCGGTCTACTCCTTCCAAATCATATAAACAAAAATCATCATTAAAAGTGTCAAACACACCACCCTCGTCGTAAGTTAATTTGTTGTATTTCGGTTGCATTTTATAGATCGCTGTTGTATTTAGACCAGAAAAAATTGTTACGGAGGTAAAAAAAGGAAATCTTCAAAAAGTTATGGAGCTCGGAAAAGCTGAGTTAGCCCAGCAAGTAGCAATGCTTCAATTAAAGTTATCGGAAAAAGAAGATGTGACTGAAAAACTAAAAATTACTATAACCGAATTGCAAGCGGAGCACGCTAAAAGTAAAGCTGAATACGAATCTACCGTAATGAGACATCAAAAATTCATTGATAAGGTGAATTTTGTTTTCTTATACTATTTTATAATAGATAATTAATTTAAAATGTTTTCATTGAATTGTTCATATTAGTTATTAAATGAAAAAAAAGAACTCAGTGAAAATTGTGCCTTGAATGTAAAAGAAATGACAAAAAAAATGAATGACGCTTTAGCTAATTTAGAAGAGCGGCATAAAGTCGAACTGAAAAAAGCTGTAGATAAACAAGTGGCTTCTGAGAAAATAAAAAAAGATCGATGGGTTGACCTTAAAACAAAAAAAATAAAGGTAAATAAATATTTAATTGATTAATAACTAAGTTGGTAGTTTATCCGCAAGGCATATTGTATTTAAATTAATACGAATTTTATGTAGGAAATGACAATCAAAGGCATTGAACCAGAACTAAATCGGATGTCAATAGCATATCAAGAAGAATTAACAGAACTTCGAAGGATCCATCAATCACAAATCGAAGAAATCGAAGCAACGTGGCACAGAAGAATGGCGACTATGAGAGATAAAATGGATGCAGAACGAGAACAAGCAGTTGTAACGGAAAGGGAAAACTCTAGAAATCGGTAAAATATAACGTTTACACTATCAGTATCCAGTTTTAAAAAAATAAAAAATATAATAAATAACTAGTTAAAAATATAGTTTAAATTTCGTATATGTGTTTCTCACCAATCGCCAATTCAATAGAAATTAAAAATGATAATATCAATATTGATTTAAATTAAAATTTCAACAGTTGATAAAATTTAGAATTTTTTTTTTAATTACTATAAATTAATATAATTTGCTATTTGAAAACTAAAAGTTATAACAGATTTATCACCAAAAATAAGGACAACATACAATTTTTGAATTAGTTGTATCTTACATTTTCTAAATAAAAAATATCAGAAAAATCCTAATACACTCAAAGATAATAATGTCTTCCAGACAATTGATCAAAACTCACTAATTTCCAAGGGCCCTATTTCAATTATACCTGTTACACTTGGAAATTCATTAATTACAAAACTTTTTGTGGTTATCTATAAATATTATTTTTGGCATTTTTATTTATATTCATTATATAAAGTATATTTATATCATTTTAGCTTCTTAGCGGAGAGAGGTCATTTTTTGATTTTCGCAGGAGTTTTCCTAATAAATGGGAAGAACGTGAAAAAATCATTTACATTTATGAACATTTACGAAATTTATTATTTTCTAATCGTAAATATTACGATTAAAACATGTATAAATGAACTCAGAATCATTTTTTATTACTAAAGATTATTCATTGCGTACATTAAACTCCCCTCTAAATCCTTTCCAATTTCTTATCTACAACAGTACAACAGTGGCCCACCCAATGTGACCCACCCGTGCAATGTACGTTCGTTTTTTTATTTGGTAGTTAGCAAGGTAGCAATACATATTATTATGAACAATAAACAACTTTAATAGCGAAAAATCCATTAAAATTTGAGCGCACAAAAGTGCGTTAGGTAAAACCATAGTTCGGTCAATCGCGTATTTTGTATATTTATTATTTACGCCAATCGTTTCGAGTATCACGCATATATTATATATTATAACTCTAAAAAGTTGTCATTAAATAAAATAGAAATAGAAATCAAAAAATAGAATTTCAACAAATCAGATAAAAAATAATTTTAAAAATGGTCGATATTTTTTTTTTGAGTATAAATGTATAATGAGTTTTTTCAAAAAAAATATTTTTGGTACTTTTTAGCTTAGAAATTGAAATTTCTGAACTCGAAAAGAGTTACCAAGAACAACGAAAACGATTGTTAGGGGAAATTCACAGTGAAAGATTGCGCCAAGAAAGAGAAAATGAAATTACATTAATGGATAAGCAACGAGCTCTTGAACACAAATTTGAAAAATTAGTCGAAGAGCTTCAGGAAAAAATTAGTACTAAGGAGCAAGAATTTCAGGTAGGTATCCAATGTGTAACGTTAATGAATGTCAATATTATGTTGGCGTGATTATTATTAGATAAACTGCATGTATAATAATTAATAATGTATGTAATACACTTCACACCATGCACATTGAGTTCAAAATAATATGGTGTTTCGAATAGTGAGATAATTCAGAACTTTATTAGACTAAAATAAACTCGTAGAATTAATATTTGTGTAGTTTTTTTTTCATGCGATTCTTTGATTACAAACATTATGTGAATAATTGTTAACATTTCTAACCTAATATTTAAAACTACGAATAACTGCATAATAATACGCGCGTTTTATTAATTGATAGTAATTTATTTTCAGAACGAGTTGAAGACTATTCGAGAAATGTGCGAATCCGAAAAGACAAAATGGATAAAACATCAAACAACAGTGTTGACGGAAAAGGAAAATACTATTAAAGAAATGTGCAAAAAAGAACGAGATAAACATATTGAATTAGTTATTCAAAAGTTAGAAAACGAAGCTTCCGAAAGAGAAAAAACATCCGAAGCTAAAATAAAGTAACGGTTTACTATTTTAAGTAAATTGTTTCTAATGTTCAAGTAAATTCGTAGTTATTTATATTGTTCGCATACAATATTTTATATAAGATTTATATTAAAACAAAATGTATAGGTACTTGTATAATGTGACTAGTTATTGATTTATAATAATACTCGTGCACATTACAGAATATGTTATCCGTAACTTGTAAAGAGATAAACGACTAACGTAAGCATTGGGCATTTTAGTAAGTAGGTATTAATTTTTGTAACTGTAGACGAATAAAATCAGAATACGAAGCTGACATTCACGAACTAGAAAAAACCATATCGGGACATCGTTTGAAATTGAACGAATCTCGTACCAAAGGCCAAGAATATGAAGAAAAAATTGTAGAACTCACTAGTGAATTGAATAAGTGTCACGCCGAACAGAAACGATTACACGAAGTATAAAACATATATAACTATTACGCGCAAAAAATAATAAATAAATAATGTTTGTAACGGCTGTTAAATTATAATCTGCAGATGATTTCTAAATTGAAAGAGGAAATTGGTTCGAAAGAAAATACAAAGAACGAGACTGTAACTAAGGTTGAATTATTGAAGTCCGAGTTAAATCAATCCAAGTTGAATTTTGAAACTAAACTCAAAACAATACAACACGATAAAGAAAGAGAAATCAACTGTGTCTACGTCAGGTCTATAGTTAAACATTTTTAAGTGGATGCAATAATACGAGCGTATGATCAATGACTGTTATTATTTTAGGGTTAAAGAAGCGATTAAACGGAAAGACGAAGTTATTCAAGCATTACAAAGCGAACGAAACGCTGCCTTAGATCAATGTAATAATATGGAAAGACTTTTGGATAGACAGAGAAAAGAATTTTTAAAACTCAATTAACTTAATTATTTTCGAGATTATCTTTAACATTGTATTTATTTATATTCATTAATTTTCGTATTTTTATTTTTTAAATTTTTGTTTCAAAAGTGTAAAATATACTTACGTTGTTGTTGTTTAAAATACAGTGTTTTCAATCCGTAAAATATTAGGTGCCTATCCTAGATTAAATAACAATGATAAATTTACGTTGATAATCAGTAGCGTGATTTATAAATAATAATACAATACAAATAATTTAAAATCGAGCCTGACAAATATTGTTAAATAATATACACATGTACGCGTGCACGCATGTACGTTAAGCAGTATCAATTTACTTTGTTTTTGTTATGATTTTTTTTATTTGTATTATATTTTTCTAATCCCATAAAAATGTCAAAAATTGACACAATAGACATCATATAATTAAGTTCTACACGACCAAAAAAAAAAAAAAAGTAGGAAAAGTCTTTTTTTTGATAGTCGTTTAGAGTTTGTTTTTAAAGATATCTTACAAACCACGGCGTAATGGGTACTATTACTGCTACTATTCATATTATATTTTCCATTTATTACTTGGTATATGCATTTTTTTGGCTCCATAAAAATACTAAAATTGTTCAAAAATTTGATAAAATGTTAATTTATATTAAAATTATAATCATAAGTAAAATATAAGTTTTACTTAGTGCTTAGTGATAACAAACAATGTTCAGCGTAATGTCGTAAATTATTTTTCCAAACGATTCAAGTTAAAACTTACAATAAAATTCGTTAAACACACGAACAAATTATAATATTGTAATTTATTTTCTAGTTACAAATTTTCAATTTAAATTAATCGAACCATATGTTAAGTGAATTTGAAAACGTTTTTCGTTTGCAATAATTTTTTTTTATCGTTTGCATTTTATTAAATAATCATAAGCACGTTGGCTATACATATTATGATTTCTTTCATAATGATACTATAACAATTTATCACTATTACATTTGATAATATTTTGGTTAATTCTTTTAAATAAGTTATGGAATTAATCATTATAGTAGCAATTATATTTCTGCAAATAAACAATTAACTATCCGAAAGTTAACAATGAAATTCTTTTACGAATTTTACTTTTTTCTAGTATAATGCCTATACTAAAACTGTATTATACGTAATACCCAAATAAAAAATTATATATATGTTTACAAATAGTTTACGTATAAATTATTAGGGTACAATAGTTTCACACGTTGTCGGACGGATGTTTAACGATGTTAGACATTTTTGTCGTAGCGAGGGATCAATTGGTTTTACTTTTTTTGTTTTTTTTTTCTGTCTGTGAACAACTTTTCTACCAGAAAACTTAAGAAATATACACATTTTTATTCAAATTACGGTTTAACGATTTGATTATTTAAAATTTTTAAGACTTATGATTTCTATCATAAATATTGCCCTAAAAGATAAACGATAAGAGACCTTTTTTTATTAAAATTTCAATCTGGTCCATGCGTAAGTTATTCGGTTTTTGATTTTATTTTTAGTTTTTGTAATAATTAAGAAAATCCGGAAAAAAAAACGTAAAATGAAAATTGACAAATTTACGGCGTTATGATTTTATTATTATAAATTTGTATGCTTTTCAGTTATTACTAGAAATATTACTATTATTATTATTTAAAATGTTGTTTTTTTTTTTTTTAATGTAATTCAGTTTGAAATATTCGTAGGAACTTAAAATGTTGACAGAACACTTACATTTATTTTTTCTAGACGTCGTAAAACTTTCGGAACATTTGGACAATTTTTGAGCTTTTTATATACATTTTAATTTTATGAATTTTATATGTAATTTTTATTTGGTAGGTACTCTGTGGATAAAATAAAAATGCTTGCAAATTTAACAGGAGGTTCTTTATACATCGTATTTTATGTTAAAAAAAAATTGAACTTTACGTAGTTTTTTTTTTATAAAATAATTTTAATATAAAATTTTGAAGAAAACCGTTTGACTAAAATATTATGAAAAACAAATTTAGTTACTGGTCTATACAAATGTTTTAATTTTTTTTGTTTTTATCATATATGTAATTATTGCCGATTTAAGATCAATGGTGAAGTCAAAATTATTAAACAGGCTAATATTTTTTGTTACGTCCCGAAAAGTGAAACGCGTTAAAAACTTATTTCAGAAAAATTTTTATACTTCCGTAAATCCCCTAAAATAAAAAATATGAACATTTATCTTAGAGATATACCTTTTTATATATCCCTCGAGAGAACAAAAACAAATTCAAGATACCATCCTTCCTAGTGGAACGCGCAGCGTCACGGGTACTCAATTTTCCTGTAAAACTCGTTTTTACAAAAAAAAAAAAAAAAATAAAACACAAAAATGCACGTCGTCTTTTAAGGGACCCTGAGCGTAAGAGTTCAGACTACGTTGCGCGCCAATCTGTCATGTATGCAAGATCCTTTCTTGGACGTATACGGCAACAAAATACAAAACTAGATCAAGATCTTCGGTTATTAATCTTTTAATAACAACTTTACTCTAGAACTCGGTTGATGGCATTACTGACCGGACAGTCAAGGGAATGCTACACCTTGTGCGCCGCGGCTTTTTAATACCGATTCCCTTCTCCCGGCTTTGTAGTTCTATACTTAAACTACTGCTCGTAGTTGAGTATAAAGGTGTCAATTCACCTAGTACTACAAAACGTTAGATATTCTACGGAAACCGTGTTTATACTTAAACACAAACGAATCTTCCGAAATATAAAACAAAACTTTATTTGAACTGGTTGGGCTCGTTCTCCGGGCTTTCTTCCCGAAGTCCCGGAAAATAATTTTTATAAAACACGCACAGCTCGCGATAATAGCGCGCTGCTCCTGTTGCGGCCGGTAACTGTGTAGCATATTTCGCACTAGTAGACGTATCTATAATATTATATTTTAACATAACAATAATAATGCCGGCGACGGTGATGATCGTGTAAAACAATATTATACCATGTTAAAATATTTTATTATAATCATTGGTGGCTGGATATACTACACTCACCGCTCATCCACAACAGTGGCCGCACCCGTCCCCAGTATCAGTATATATATATATTTTTTTTATATTACATAATGATGTTTAGAACACGATGAGATGGATTTAAAAGACGAACTATAACGGCGATTAAAGTATTGAAATCATGTTCCTAATTGCGTCGTCGACAATATAACTTGTCAACATGTGAAAATCGCACTTCACAATTATTTATTGTTAAACAAATACACACCTGTTAGATTTTTTTTTTTTTGAAGTAAATTACCGTGGATTGCTTTTAGCGGATATTCGAAATCATCTACAGTCGTTGTATATTAGATGTACTTATGTATATTATATATACTTACATAAAATACGTTTATCGCACACGCAACTCGTTAGAATATTGTTCGCGCACATTTAGTCTTTAACTTGGGAGTGCTTAAATTATATATCCAGTAAAAGTACTCAGTTAAAATTTTACATAAATTGTTGTAATGAAAAATCGGCGCAATGACAGCATTGTTTGATAGCTACAAGGACTCTAGATTATTTCGGATTTCGAAAAGCCATCCACGGTATTTATCTTTAAAAAAATCTGAAGGTCGTGGATTTGGTTAACGATAAACAATGGCGAAGTGCGGTTTTTACATGTGAACGAGTTATATTGTCGACAACGCAAATATTGCACAGATTTACGCTGTGAACGGAATATGATTTCAATACTTTAATCACTGTTAGTTTGTTTTTTTAAATCCGTTGTCATATTCTAACTATCATAAAGCAATTATTATGTAATATAAAAAATAAAAAGATACTGATACTAAGGACGGGTGCGACCACTGTTGTAGGTGGGTAGTGAGTGTAGTATATCCAGCCACCAATGATTATAATAAAATATTTTAACATAGTATAACATTATTTAAAACTACACACAAAAATTTAGCAATTTGCAGAACAAGAAAATCAATAGGATAATTCATTTCCTTTTATCATAAAGATATTAAACCTGCGACGTCTCGCCGCCCGTTTATTTACCTGGCCACGTCGTATGTTTCGTAAAAGGCGGTAAGCGCCGTGTGACGACTTACCTACCGTTATTATACTGGAGATAAAAAAAAAAAAAATTAGGCCGCCAACCTATAGCCGAGAGCCGAGGGTCGGAGCATATAGGATTTTGGTTATGTGATAAGCTGAGGGGAGCAGGGACATACTAATATTATTAATGAATAAAGAAATACACATGTGATTTTGAGGAGTAGAGAAGTTTGATATTTATGACTGGTAATTAATAAAATTAAAAAAAATTAATATAAAAATTAAATAAAAAATTAAGTTATGTTAATCCAGGTTAATCTAATGTTAAATTAGGTTTCTTAATGTTTACAGTGAGACTACTACATCGAACGATTCCTATCACGCTCACGACCCGGAGAGGATACATTCATTTTTTTCCTTCGGACATACGTGAAACTCATGCTTTGATGCCTTGGAGGTATCATATATTTGATTTCGAATCATAACGAGAGGCCCTCGCAGAATAACGTGTTTTTCGGATACGCGGATTACGACCGGGATGTTAAGAGTACCCTCGCACAGGCGTAGCTCCATTTTTTAGTCCGTAACCCTAATGACGACCTGTGGAGTGATTATGGGTTCGCGGGCCATAGTGCGTGTAGGCCGTCAACTCACCAATCGGAAATGGTTCCGCAGAGAACTTTAACAAGGATGCGGCGAAGAATGAAAAAAAAAAAAAATAATAAAAAATAAAATAGAAACGCCAAACGCGAACTCTAGGAAGAAGCGGAATTCGTACAGGGAAAATTTCACAACTAAAACCGTATTATTAATTATTCAACATGAGTTGTATATATAATATATACATAAATAAAAAATATAAAATTGCACGGTCGTGGTGTTACCCACGAAACTACAAAGCATTATAGAGGTACAGAAAAAAAAAATAAAATAAATCCCAAGTTACGCGCAGCGTGGTGCGGCGTTCGTTGTTGTCCGCCATTGTGAGACGAAAGAGTTTTTAGCCGTTCATGGAACTCGTGGACACGGAAATCGACATGTCTTGATGTTCGAAAGGCGAAAACCCAACAAACTGTGTGGCCGCGGCTCGCCCGGGTGCATAGCTGGAGGCGCGCCGATTAGCGAGACTGGTTTGATTGGCCGACAACCCCCAAGTTTCGGTTGCAAAGGTTGCGATCGCACGCGCGGTTTCTTTTCATTGCGCGTGCACTGAGCAAACCGTTTGATTCACGGTTTATAAACGGTTTGACTTAACCTTCTGTCATATACCGCGCGCCCGTGCGTCGTGTATAGTTTAAATTTTGAGAAGGTGTCTATGCCATCGTCCGTATCTCAAAGCGTCGGGATTTTCGGGACGTTACATACCAAGGAGAATTAGTTTTATGAGCAGAAAAAAAATATTCATTACAAAGTATGTATTATTATTCTTTTATAATTTTAAATTTTGTTTTGATGCAACTCAGTTAAAAATGTCCATAGAAACTTGAAATGACGTCCTGACAAATATTATACACATTATACACGCATGCACATTAGGTTTTTGGTTTTTGTCATGGTTTTAGATTCTGAGTTGAACGAGTTGAGTTGTATAGACTCACAATGATTTTATTTTTTTACTTTATTTGTGGCGAACATTTCTACCAGCAATTTTGCTTAGATTTTCAATAATAACAGTTTTTCTGAAAGGAAATCGGACTTGGGAGGTATTTAAAAGAGGTCAATTTTTGATTTTCGCAGAAGTTTTTCCAATAAATGAGAAAAACTGCGAAAAAACATCGGAAAACCGAGAGATAGAGAATTAGGTGTAATATTAAACAAATATTATTAAAGAAAATGTTTAATGTATATGTAATTATTTTACGAAAATATGACACACATATTTTTGACAAAGAACACTATCAACCAAACTCCGCTCAGAACTGTGTTTTCATTCGGAACGGTTAATTGTTGCTTATAGGTATACATTAAATTCCCGTCTATATCCTACCTTCCCGACTACCCACCGACAACAGTGACTGCTTCCGTCCCTATTATCCTAGGACAGCTTTTTTATTTGTATTATATATTTTAAGTCCCGTAAAAATCCTAAAAAAAAACTGTTGCAAGAGACTCCATAATTATTATTATATACCATTCACCAGGCGACAGTGAAAATTCGTTAAACTTATTATTAAGTTCTACTTGATGGGATAAAAACGTTTAAGATAAAGTTTTTTTTTTTTGTTAATCGTTTTAAGATTATGTTTTTAAAAATTTCCTATAAAACACGGCATTTTGGGTACTACTACTACTATTCATATATTTTTTATTTATGAGTGTGTGTATTTTTTTAGCTCCATAAAAATACTAAACATTTTCAACGATTTGATACAATGCTAATTTATGTTGAAATTAAAATCATAAGTGAACTACAAGTTTTACTTAGTGCTTAATGGTAACAAAAGAAGTTAATTGTGATTTATTTTTCCAAACGTATAAAATTTAAATTTAAAATAAAATTCGTTAAACACAACCAAATTATAGTTGTGTAATTTATTTTGTAGTATCAAACCAATACAATTTTCAATTTAAATTTATCGAACGGTTGTTAAACGAATTTAAAATCGTTTTTTGTTCACAATGATTTTTTTTATCGTTGGAATATTATTAAATAATAATAAACATATTGGCTATAAATATTATGATTTCTTTCAGCGGTTGTAAACAAATTTACATAATAATATACATATATAATAATTTATTACTATTATAATTGCTAATATTTTGGTTAATTCTCTTAACGAATTTATAAAATTCAATATTTCAGAAGTAGTTATATTTTTAAGAATTAACAAAAAAGAAATAACTATCCAACAGTTAACTCTTACTATTTTACTTAAATAATTCTTCAACAAATTATAATTTTTACTGATATAATGTCAACTATACTATACGTCATTCCCAAATAAAGGATTATATTTTCAAATAGTTCACGTACAGAATTAATGTTTAATAGTTCCACACTTTACCGAAAAATGGACGGATATTTAAAGGTGATAAATATATTTTTTTTAACTATCGTTGTTTTTCTCTTCTTTATAGTAATTATTGCTTTATGATAATATTTAGAATACGATGACGGATTTGAAAAACGAACTAACGGCGATTAAATTATTGGAATTATGTTCCGCTCACGGCGTAAAACCGTGCAATTGCATTGTCGACAATTTAACTCGTCGACACGTTAAGATCGCACTTCAAAATTATCTGTCCTTAAACAAACCCGTGCCAGTTAGATTTTTCAAAGAAAAATATCGTAGTTTGTTTTTATCGGAAATCCGAGACCATCGAGATTTGTTGTAAGCTATATAACGCTGTCATTGCGACAATTTATTATTATAATATATTATGTTGCGCGCCTAACTGAGTAGGTACTTATACTATGTTGTATACTTTATATACTCACATCAAATTATTTTCTCCTGTAATCGTGAAATTCAAAATTGTATACTTGTAATATAAAAAACTTTTTCTTTTCTCTTCTGTTTTGTATCAAGCACATACTTACCTTTTTCTTTGGTTTTTTTTTTTTTAATCAATGTACCTATTACTCTATCTCGACGCATGCTATACACAACCTAAAGAGATAGATAATCACGTACATAACGAATAATATATTGTTCTATTATGTAATTTATGGTGGTTTAATAAAAATAAAAAAATTCCAATGGATATAAAACACACTTGACCCACACGCAACCCTTTAGAATATACTCGCAGATACTACGAGTACAAACAACTAAGGAACGATTTCATTTACTGATTATCGTTCTCCAAATTAACGTCGATAACCAGGGAATATTTACAATTGCAACATTTACTAATTTTTAGGGAAATTACGTCATTTACCACGTTTAGACCTAAGTCTTTTACCGGAACATATATGTTATACAGGGTGATTAATCTATCGTAAGACAATTATTAAATTTTTTCGGGATTTGTTACATAGAACATTTAAGACACAAGCTGATCTACAAATTTACTTATATGTAATTTTTTGTCACCTTTATTTTTGGAAGTGAAACCACTAAATCTACCTATGCAACCTATATTAAAAATGACATAAATCAACGGAGTATTAGATAAAATAAATTTTGGTATTGAAATTTTTGATTTTTGTCAACCAAATGAAATATTCCATTTTTAAGTTTGGGTAGGAGGAGAGTAGTGGAGCATCATTTGTATGATGGACAGCACGCGGTGTTTACATAATAGGTTGTGTCTTAAATGTTCTTTAAAACAAATACCGAAAAAAAAAAATATTTTCTAAGATAATGAGTAACGATAACGATAGATCGATCCTGTTTATACAATTCGTAGACATAGGCTTAAGAAACCTCAACAGAAGGCTGTAAAAAAAGAATCGTCGAGAAAATCGCAATCGCAATCGATTTTGCCGGTAACGTTACCGACTACAGCTGAATATTACACAGAACGTTACGGGGACTTAAACGGTATCATTTGTAAGGTGTGTATAAGTGGTAGGTTCATTTTTGACACCGCCGAAATAGTTCAAGTTTAACGTGTTTCGTACAGGTTAACAGTATATTCAAGTGCATAACAAAAGTTATAGAAAACAGTATGTACTCGATTCACAGCTTAAGCGTGATGGACCCGTTTAAATTTGTCTACGAGGAGATAATTAAAGATTTTAATAAATTCAAAATCGAAATCGAACACGTTCAACGGTAATTTTTATCGAGCTGTGTGTTTTGATGTCCCAACGTTTGATCCGTTATCTATTTGAATAATTGCAGGTCAATGAATAATACCGTGGATCAAATGGTTCAAAATCACCAAGCAATAGCAAAGACATGCGAGAATATTGCTCAAGAAACTCGTAAGTAAAAATCTGCGTAAAAACTATTTTACGCAATAACACGTAGGTACTAATTATTATAACATTATATTAAAAAGGAAGATATATATTATATGGGTATACCAATATATATTATGGTTAAAATAAATCAATTTTTGCGTTAAAGGAAAACGGCATAAATCGCAAGAAATATATTCAGAGGACGGATCTGTTATAATGGTCAATAACGATGAAAAAAATTACGTATCTCAGTTAAATTTGAAAATGAACAGTTTCATAATACAAAAAACTGTGTTGCTCGAAATGTTGGACAAAATACTTACGCTCACGTGTAATTTAATCGTACACAAAAACAGAATTAACGCGAATTTCATGGTAATGCTAATTAAATTATAGTATAGTACCAGATTTTTAAAGTATTCGAGTAAAAACATTAATGAATAATAATAATAATAATAATAATAATACTAGGTAAATCAACTAAAATCTAAGTAAAAGTATTCGAAATTTTACAATACAAATGACTTGATATTGTATTTTAAGTATTTTTAAAAGTATTTCTTATTATAGAAATGAGCTAAATAATAATTTTAAAATACTTGTATAGTTTTTATTCTAGATATTTTATATTTTTATAAACAATAATAACTATTAATAATAAATGAAAAACACGTTTTATTTTCATAAATAAAATATAAATATATTAATTTTAATTTGTTAAATATCGGCGTTCAAATTTTAAAAGGAAAAATTGACCAGCGTTTATAGAATGGTCGGTACTAACATGGAAGGTTTAATTGTACAATTAATAATTATGAGAACTATATTATTTAATATTAATTTAATTGTTCTTTTAATACAAATAATATTGTAACTATTTACTTGGAATTTTTAACTTATATTTGTGCACAACGATAAATCATTGATATCGAAATACTATTTTGTGCTAAGTATGGTTAAACATATTTCTGTAATATAAAAATTTTATTCTGATCGGCGCGAAGAATTTATTGGTTTTACAAAGATGTTTTTTTTTTGTTCTTTTTTTATGTGAACAATTTTTCTACCAGAAAAATTACGCTGATGTATACAATTTAGACCCTTTTCTGAAAGGACCTTTTCTTGGAGTGGTACTTTAGAAAGGTTATTTTTCGATTTTCTCAGGAGTTTTCCCAGCAAACGTGAAATACCGGGAAAAACGTTGGGAAAATGGGAAAATCGGTACAATATTAAACAAATATTATTAAAGAAAATATACAATGCCTATTTAATTATTTTACCATAATATGACGTATATATTGTTGACAAAGTATTTCCATCTACTGAACTCCACTCAGAATCCTTTTCAGTGAGCTATGATTTATTCTTGCTTACAGATACAAATTAATTTCTTCTCCATATCCTACCTTACCAACTTCGCACCAACAACAGTGGCTGCATCCATCCCCATTAACCTAGGACAGCATTTTTACGACTAAGTACAGCTTACAAAAAATCAAGTATTTAATTTGCATGCATTTTTTCTATACCGAAACAATTTATCCACATAAATTCATAAATTGTTCATAGACAAAAAAAATTGAAAATACTACTGAAGAGTGTGCTCTGTTGGTAGAATAAATAGTTTTATATAATTTATGTATGTGCGTGACGATAATGTAGTTACGAAGTAAAATTTTGAGTGAAGTTAGATTAAACATATTTTGAAATACCATAAAAACCATAGTTTGTATAATTTTCGTTAAAATGAATTACAAATAAACATTAATGAAAAAAAAAAACACACACACACATATATACACGTCATAGTAAAACCAATTCATTTCTTTTTTTACTGAGAATTAATAAGTTTGGAGTTTCTCAAAATGTATTAATACATTTTAAGAAAATTACTAATAAATAATACACCCAATGATCGATTACCAATAATTTGTAGAATATACTTGGTATTCAGTACACAGTATATGATACTATCATAATGTATAGTGTAATAAGTAATAAGATATTATACTTTGTGAAGCAATTCAAGTATAGAACTGTATGGAAAAATCTATGGGATATTATATTTTACAAAAAAAGTATTTGAAAGTAATTAAAAATACTGTACTTACAAAAATATTTCGCTGTATTTGTACTCGGATACGTGTTCTTAATATGTAAACAAGTAATATCTGTATTTTTACAGGTCTGTAATAAATAGTGCTTACAAGGCTATTTATAAATAAAATGTGTCTATATTATATTCCATTTTTATTTCTTGTTTGTTTTTAGGAGTATTATTCGAGTATAGTTTCTCCAAAACAGATAAATCTCGAAAACATACCGTCTGTACACACATTGGACGACATGACAGTTAGTAACGACGCAAATCTTGACAAAATAGAATCATGCAAAATGTTTAAAAAATTTCCGCAAGTTGAACCTGTTCAGAGGACAATAAAGAAAACTTAACTGTATCATTTAGATATTTTTATTAGAATTAGGTATATACAGATCAAAGAAATGATGTATTTAGCGAACGCTTTTAAAAATATATTTACAAGTTTTTACGAGTAAGTAATAGGTACTTATGAGTATTATAGAACAATATGGTATAATAATATTGTGTTTTAATCAAACAGTAGATAAGGGTAACTATATAATATTATAATATTACTATCTGAATAACCCGGCTTCGCCGACGTGCTGTTTTTTTGTGTTACCTACAACTTTTATTTATCAGTTTTTATATTATAGTTATAATAAAAGGATGATCGTATTTTATCGTTTCTTACAAATATAATTGAAATAACCTTATGTATTCTACCTTCTCAACTTCCCACCTACAACAGTGGCTGCACCCGTCCCAAGCATCACCTCTTTTTTTTTTTTTTTTT